ATTTTTAATTTCAGATATTGCCGGATTTTCGTGGACTCTATCAGAAATGTGTGGAACCTTCAACAGCTGTCGCATTTTTGATTTTCGGAATTCTTCTTTGCCAATAAAAACACCAGTATGTTTTTAAATTTAACATAAAACATATTTTTAGTATATGATAAAATTATTAATTAGGATCTTTCAATCATTTCAAAGATTAAATAAAAACAAAATTTTGAGGCTGTGTATTATCTCACATGAGAAATGTATATATGGTTTGCATGCAGCACTAAAACCAACAATAAAAATGCCCATGGGTGATCACTTTGGCTCTGTATTAAGAGAGAAAATGACCAAAATTGGAAATTTGGTGTTCAACATGTGAAAGGTTTATAATAGTAAAATAAAAGATCTATATTTTATAAATGATTTATTTGTATATACAGTATATTTATTTAGTTTTTATTTTTATGAACAAGAAGTTAAACTGATTATAATTTGTGCTGTTGAACCGAATTTATTTTAAAAAGACTAATGATTCAAAAATAAATAAAACTAAGTACTGTACATTAAAAATTGATTATCATTTTATATAGTTTACATTGTAATTTTGATTATCATTTATCTGTATTGACCATTTTATTTGTATCATTTGTTATTTTCATTTTTTTTCATAATTTTATTATTATACTTTTTCACACAATTGTTAATACTGATAAATTTAATTTCTTATTTAAAAGCGAACATTTTTGTCTGGCTCTTCTATGTAATATTACAGAGAAAAATTTTTAATTTTATAACTTCTAGAATAATTAAGATAATTTTCATGCTGGAATTTTGGAAATGCAGATTGACACCAAATTTCTGACACCCTTGGTTCCAAAACCTTGCCAGGTTAACCATTTTGCCAAATCAACCATGGTCACATATAATAATTTTTGCCATGAATCAGGCAATAGTTGCCATATTGCATGATTCATCTCACTTTGAAATTGGAATAATAGAATTTGAGATGTGAGAGATGACTTGGAAGTACAACAAATAGCATTTACATAGCAAGCACATTTTTTCACTTCATGCGCAGCGAACATAGAAAGCATGTTCAAGTGTAGTTTGAATGTAGAAGTATTGTTCAAACTCCAGGTCAAATTTCTCTCAAATTTAGCATTCAAACTCTGGAACATTTGAAGTTAGTCATTGAATTAAATAGAATTGAACTGGATAACAATTTCAATTTGATTATTTTCTTAAATTATTTATGAGGAATTATTAATACTTTATATTTATTGTACAAATCAAATTTTAAAAATTTACATGGATATCTGGAAGATATTTTGATCATTTGTTTTTGAATCTCTCTCTCAAATTGATAGATAGCTATTAGAAAATTTATTTCTGAAAAATGCTTTCTTGTTTGTAATATTCTGAAAGATATTTGAAAACTTATTTTAAATAACTTTCAGAATATTTTCAAAATATTCTATTGTACTTACTATTTTCATGTGATGATAAAAGTACAGGTATTCTTCGTGTAACATGGTAGATACATTCTGAAAACGTGCCATGTTATGTGAATCCATGCTATATGAAAAAAAGGACTAATGCAAAACATATGGTTATATTCCAAACATCAGAAAAAGTATACTGTTCTTTAAGAGTAATATGTTTAATAAATTAACTAACAAGCATAATTAAAAGTACTGTTAACATTAATTAATTTTAGTTAAACGAGGGTGTTTTCTTTTTATAAAGTATTGTCGCCATCTCATTTTTTTTGTTGATCTTGATCAGAAGTATCAGCAATATTTTTCATATTTTTTACTTTTATCATAAAAAATTTCTTATGGATGACAAAATAAAAATATGTTATTAACCGAAAATTTGTACTAGCAGGTCACGTTTGTTCAGTCGAGTATCGAGTGACTACTTCCTAAAATTTGTGTTCGAATGCTGAATTGTTTGAGTAACGAGATACTGCCATATTTTGTACATCATTTTACAAATGATTGCTTACCTACAGTTTAAAAAAAGTTTAATAGCACTTATCTAAAAATGCTTAAACAAACTTTACTAAATATGAAGAATAATCTATAAAAACAAAACACAATGGGTCTTAAAGGCTAAAATCTGAAAGCAACAACAATGACACTCGGTTGATAGGAAAACTAAGACAAGTAGGAAAACTGATTTCATTAAAGTAAACATGATGAAAAGCACAAAATAATTAGAAAATTTTAATATTTTAAAATTAATGAGCAAGTTTGAGATAACATGCATACTTACTTGAATTAGAAAAAATATAGAATAGTGAAGTTTACNAGTTATCACATAGTATTTTTGTAGTACTATGCACTTTGCAAATAAATTTCAAACAACTGTTGCACTTAGTAGCATATTTACCATCTTTTTTTCCAGCACAAAATGACAACATACTCTTTTCAGGAGATTTCAGCTTGATCTAGCAATTTGTATAATATTATCATCTATTAGCAGTTCAAATGATTCTTTGGTAGTCATTTTGAATATTTGATGCAAGATTGAGATATCTTTGCAAAATAATTGTAAAAATAAAAAAAAAACATAAAAACACATTTCCACAAAAAACCAACATAACTGGTATCGTGGGGGCTGCGCGGCCCCCAGAAGGTACATAGCTCCATCCTTGTAAGTGCTACAGGGCTGAACATTTGGCACTCGCTAAGAGTCTCGTAAATTTTTAGAAAATTGTAAAAATATGACGCGTGGGGCCACGCGGCCCCCATGAAACCAGTTAAGGGTTAAAATAACGATATTTAAATAAATTAAACGAATGTAATTTAATTAGAATAAATGTAAAAAAGCTGATTGAAAAAGAAGGATTGCATGATAAACAGAAAGGGTGATTTAAAAAGCCATATGATAAATCGAAATCCTATGATATGTTACATGCCACTTTGGCCATGCATGCCCTAGGTTTGCCACCTCTGTTCTAGAGCATTGGTTCCCAATCTATGATCTGCACATTTCACATAAATAAAAATCAAAAATGCATTAGTCATTTATAGTCTTAGAGTGATGATATATTATGTTTGTGTATATATCTTACTGTAAATTCACTATAAATGTATTTTTTTCATATTATGTACTATGTCTAGTTAAAACTCAAGAATAACTAAATTGATGCTTATATGCTCAACATGCTAAATTATGATCCATGAAAAATTACAGTTCTAAGGTCCTAATACTTGATTAAGCTTTCATAACACTAACTCTGAAATCTATATAGTTTATTTTTTATTTACTCATTAATATCTTAAAATGTATTACTACTATTATTTTTTGACTCATGTAAGTTAAATAAAAATATATTAATTAAATAGAATAAATTCATTTAAACTAATTAGATATTTGTTTTCTGTTTTTTAACAGCTGGAATAGGTTATATCTTGGCTTGGACAATGGGTGGTATTTTTGTATTCATTTTAATTGCTGTCAGTTCATTTTTTATATATAAAAGAAGTAAGTTAAATTTTAGAATTATTTAATATAATTTTTATTTTAATACATAAATTCTTATCATTTTTTAAAATTATTTATTAGTTCTTAATGTATTGTTGCTACATTTTTTTTAGTTCTTAATATATTTATTGCTATATTGCATGATGATAAATGATATCTAATCAACACATATATTGTCAGAAGATAACAATATCAAACCAATGTGATAATATTGTAGCTATTGCCAAGAAATCAATCTTGCTAGAGATTGTTTATCATCTCTGCATAATTTTAAAAAGTTCTGTACTATTCAACCTCACTTTAACCATACACATGCTCAGTAGTATGGTAAAATTGAGGTTGAATAGTCTCAATTTAATAGTTCTTATTTAAATTTTATCACACCCAAAAATTATAGTCACAATACTTCAGTGTTGTTAGAATTATTCAATTTTCGAACTACCCCAGTTTTATGACATTTGAGCCCACTTATCAAGTTTAGATTTGTTCTAAGAGAACTGTTTATTTGTAAAACATCATGGTATTATTGTAGATGATTTCTAAATCCTTACTGTGTTTGCATAAGTTGTCTGTGTTTGCATAAGTTACTGTGTTTGCATTTTGAACGATGCTCCTCATCGTTCAAAATGCATTTTTGGCCAAAATGTAGACAATGAAATACTTCTAATACAGTTAATTGTCCTCCTTGTGTGATTAGATCCAGAGAAAGTATTGCAAAATTTATGCACAGATACTTACCTTATTATTATACTAAAAAAGTATTAATTCATCATTCAATCCAGTTCAAATTTTATAAGGTACTGTATTTTATAATTTATTTATCTATAGGCTTAGTTCTCCTTAGCCTTTTGAAGTATTGCATATCTTCAAGATTTTATAAATACCTTTCTTCTGTATATATATCAATAACACTTGATCTGAGATTATGTCTACAGTCATTTCAATAAGAAAATGCCAAAACAAAGAACGTGAGTACAGAACCACTTGAGATACATCTAATGCCACGTGACATTGTAACTTCACTTTAGATTTGATATTATATGGAAGAAACTGTCTGATCTTATTGCAAGCTGATTATGAATAAATCTTCTTGCAATAAGATGTCAAACTATGTTATGTTGACAAAAGTATCTAGACACCACATATTGGTGCAAACAGTAGTTTCCACACTGTTGTTAATATGAAGTCTGACCTCTCTTTGCCACTATAACAATCATTATCCTTTGGGGTGGCTTTCTTCCAGGTGTTGTTACACTGCTATTGGAATTTTCTTCCATTCTTCCTGTAGCATGGTGAACAGTTTGCAAGCAGTAGTTGGCTGATTCGGTCTGACATGCAACAGTTATTTGAATTCATTCTAAAGATGCTCAACTGGATTGATGTTTGTTTGGCTAGCTAGTTAAGACAAAACTTGTTCTATATCTATTCATCAACAGTTCTCTTAAACTTTCAACCTCAGTTTCTCATCAGTTACAAAAGTGAAGATAAAACTAACTTTTAAGTGATTCTCATCCAGAAATTTGTGTGTGTATTTGTGGCATAGATATAAATTACAAAATTTATTTTCAAAAACCTCCAGGAACTTAGAGGTTGGACAAAATAATGTGAACACCAGTGACATCAAGCCAAATGTTCATTAATGTGAGGTTGGGCCACTTTTTGCTTTAAGCAAAACATTTATTCAACATGATAAATAAAGATTATGGATAATGTCTAAAGTAATATGTTCCCATTCTTTATGAAGAATAAACTAAAGTTCCAAAAAGCATCTGTGGAGGAGAAAAATCTGCTTCCACACCTTGGCCTACAAGATTTCTCACAATGGTTCAATGATGATGAGATCTGTGATTGTGGAGGCCAAGAAAGTTATCAAACTTCATCCTTATGTTCATCAAGCCACAACTAGACACATTTGGCAATGTGGATTGGCATTTTGTCTTGAAACACTGCAGCTCAAGTTGGAAACAAAACTTGCTCCATGGAATAGAGTTTGAATACTGAAAAGTTCAACATAATGTTGTACTGTGATTTTTCCTTTGAGTGTCACAATAGATCTCAATCAATGTCAAGATATTGCTGCCCATATCATTACAGAGCTGCAAGTGTTCACATTATTTTGTTAAACTGCTGCAATTATATACCATAATCAGCTTATACTTTGAACTTATAAACAATTTGATAATAAGAATTGATCAAGAATTAAGAGATTTTTGAAAGTGTTCAAGAAATATTTAGTTTTCCCCTCTCTTGGCATCTGTCAATAGTGTCAGTCTGATATAATTCATATGAACTTTAGTCATAGTCTATTATAATTTGTTTTGTTTTTCATGAAGGAAATACTGTATTCTGAAGTAAATAGGCTATTGGTTATATGCAGTAGTTTGTTCAATCAGTATGTTGCCGAATAACAACCACCTTAATTTTTGATATACCAGTGCAGTTTGAATTTGTATAGAAATTTCTTCAATATTTAATATGATAATGATGTACTATAGTCTGAATCTTAGTGCAAAAGTGTTTGTCTGATGTATCAACAAGCTTTATTATAAAAGAATATAACTGTATAGACCTAAGCAGAACAATATTATTCCTATATTTTCTTAGTGATTGAAAATGTATAAAAGATGGTTAATTTAAGAGTTGGTTAAATATCAACTAGGAAATATTTCATCATGTATTTTTATGATGATTTAATTGTAATTAATAAATAATGATTTATAGCAAGTATTTTAAAATTTAATGAATTAGTTAATTAATTAAGTCATTAAATTTTAAAGATAAAAAAATGAACTGTTTGTTTACAAAATAATATAGTGAAAAATTACCAATAGGTTGATTATATTAACAACAGTGAATTCATGTTAATTCAAATTATAAGTGTCTGACAAATTAATAAAAATTTAGGAGGCAATACAAATTTTTACAAGTAAGAAGTATTAAAACGTATTGAAATTGTAAAATGTTATTTAGAATTGTGGGACAATGACTTAAAACTGCAGGAAGATTTCATTTCAGATTAAAAAGGGGAAGATATAGCAAGGTCGACTAGGTCATTTGATCAATCTGTCTTTCTTATTTATGTAACAAGCATCATTTATAATGCATAATGCAGTTTATTTTTATTTGAAAGATTCTGAGATTAACTGGAACATTTTGAATGATTGCAGGTAGTGTAATGTTAATGTCAGCAGAGAATGATACTAGAAGGTATTCAATTCAAATTAATCAAAAATTAGAATTATTTGCCTTCCAATTAATAAAATTCTACCTTATCACAAAAACTATTTTTTTGCATCATTGAAAAATATATATGCATTTATAATTTGTGTTTTGCTTTTTTCACTTATTAATCCATTTATTGATTATTCATATTCTTTAATATTTTGTTTTCTGATATCAGGAAAATTTATCACAATGTACTGCTTAATTGGATTATTTTTGATAAGTTATAAAGGTTGATACATGAAATTGTTAAAAGTTTGTACTAATTTTTTATTTGAATATTTCTTCCAAAGCCTTGATATTAAAGGTTGGTAGTCCTAACCTCACTCTGAGCATAGTGAGGTTTAGAAAGATAGAAGGACTATAAATATATCTAGGACTACTATGCTCAGGCTGATTCTAATAATCTGTGTTGATTGAGTGACCATATGCTGTCCATGTAACACATTGTTACAGAAACAAGATTGAGACAATTAGTTGAATTATATTTGATGACAAATCTCACTTTTCTAGTTTATTGTACTATGCTTTTATTTTTTACATTATCATCAAAACTGTAGCATAAATGCTTTTAGTATATTAAAACGAGCTATATCTAGTTTATTCCCTTACTGCAATAAGAGTAGAAAGGAGGTAGACGAATACAATTTTGCATAATTTAGGAGGTCAACACTATAGTTATAAATGCTTATGTGGAAGAGGAGGGAACAAAAATGACGAAATTATGTTTACGTATGTTTATATTATATGTTTATATTATATGTTTAAATTATGTTTATGTTTACTTTAATGTCTGGGAGTTAGGCAGAAACAGATTAATCTTAAATGTTGTCATTGAATAAGAGATAATAGTATAGTAGGGTTCTCGTTTTATAGTAGGCTGAGATTAGTTTCCTGGAGATACAGGAGTATAAGGATTAAGTACATATGAAAGATGAATTATAATGTGTTTCATTTGAATGTGTTCCAGATATATAAAAGTTAATGCTCGATTCTTATATAATATTTTATTATCATCATATTTAGTCTGTGCTTAAACGAAAAAGATTATAAACCAAGTTGTGCATCTAAAATTTATAGCAGTTTTCCTTGTAGTTTTCATTACTTTTTAAAATTTTATCTTCATGATTCATTATTGTTACAGTAAAAGGAGTCGTATTTGAATCCCTCACGAGATCACTCGTTCCATTTTTCTATTAACTTCCATCGTGTCCTGCTCCATCTTCCGCTCTTAGGACTACTTAAAATTCCACTTTTATTCCTTTGTTTTCAAATATAAATGAAAATAAGGCGCAATATTAATGCGTACAATGGACTTGTGATGTAATGCAGTTGATTATAAGTTACAGCAACCAAAGAGTTTTAAAATAAAATTGACGTTAAATAATAATTCACTGCAGTTGATAAAGTTTGCGCACGACATATAACGGACGTTTTTATAACGTAAAATAACTTATAAATAACGTACCAGTATAAGCATAAGAAAAGTTTTACGTTAGAAGTTTATATTATAAAATTACGGAACCAATCATATTATGATCCTTTATTGACGTCAATGATCATCGTCGTTACGCAGGCCATAGCCTCCAGAAGTACTTTCGGGGACTATGCGCACGCCCACATAAAAACACACTTTGTGTTTGTCGGCCATACTGTTTTTTGCTTCGCTACGTGTGTTTGGATTTTCTTAGAAATTTGGGAAAAATGAAGATAGTAGAAAATCCTTAGTTCGTGGATATTAAAGTCGGTATACAATAATTTAGAAATGATTGCTTGGAAATTGTATAGATGGATTGGATAGGATTATTTGTATACTGCAACGTGACACGTGGGCGATCGACCGAGGGGAGATGCCTCCTGAGAGGACTTTGTAAGGGAAAGTAGCCTCTAAGTTTTAAAAATGTGAAGAAAACCCGGAAAGCTCCACGAGTTTTCTTCACGTATGAAATGAGTTCCATTCTAGTCCGTAGTGATCGCATGTCAATCGATTTATCTGGGGATTCGATACATTGAGATCTTTTAATGGGATTAAATTTAGAAATGTCGTAATACTTGATATGTTGCTAAGTTTCAGTAAAGTAAAAAAACTCCAACCAGTTGCTTAACTTTCCCGGCAACATTTAAAACTATATGTGGCGCCATCTGTTACGATATTTTATTAAAAACTTTTTATATTTTTAATTATTATAAAATGGGGTAGGGATGGGTTTTATAAAAAGTTGTAAATGTAACGAGTAAAATCGTTATGAAGTCCGACCCTACTCGAGATAGGACACATGACCCGCTTTATCTTCCTATCCCGTCGACCTTTTAACCACCAAAATTAATAGCATCAACCTCCTAATACACAAACCTCCCTGCAAAATTTCAGAAAAAAGCACAAGACTTATTAAGCTTCAAACAGAGTGAACAAAATCGTGTCCCCACACACTAACGTCCAATAACTCCCCCGGATTTTTCTCATTTTTCGACGTTTCAAGGTCCCCGAGGCCAAAAATGTAAAAGTCTTGGGAGAGGGGTTCATTTTTGAACGATTGCTTTACTTTCCCTCTATTAAGTATAAGAGCCGGGAAAGGAAAAATAAATTGGATTTTATGTTTAACAAAAGCAAATTTTTTTTTTCAATTCTTATTTGGTTTTTTATTGGACTGCAATTTGAAAAAACTAGAACTATAAATTTCCACTGTCGTCCTTCCCTCCGTCTGTCTTTCCTTAATCTCGCGGAGTTAGACGAAAGACGAGACCAGATATGGAAAGCTTATGGGTAGGTGGCCCCGATTAGCTATATACGAACTTCCGGTGCAAACCAGAAGTCGCGTTATTTCAATTCAAACTTCCCCAAAAGGCGTTAGATGACGATAGATGACCGGCACGACTGTATTGCTAACAGGAAAAGTATGATGTACAGGGGCAAGCCATTACTAATTTGAGGTGGAGAGCATATATTTTAATTTATTAAGAAACGAACAATTATTTATTGTGACGACGTCACAATAAATAATTGCTCGTTTCTTACATATGTATATATAATTTATTCTTATTTTACATGAGCATAGAAAAATGATTGGCGAATTAAATGTAATTTTGGAAAGGGATCTACTAGCAGAGAAGGTTGTAAAGATTGGCAGATGATCTCGAGTTTTCTTCACGTACAGCCCTTTGGTCCTGTTCAAAGGGCCGCACGCGAGAAAACCTGGAAAACAAGTGGAGGTTTCCGGGTTATTTTTCACACGTATTACATCTGAATAGGGCCAATTTCACGTAGAAAGTCAAGTCCTCCCAATTTATATTTGATGCAATTATTTTCCGGATAGATCGCCTACATGTTGCATTACCCAATCCAATTCTGTTTTGAAATCGTCCTTAACCAATTGGTGAAAAGTTAGCGATAAAGAAATTAACCTTTTATCGACAAAACTTATCATTGGAACGACGACCTTAATATTTTTTTAACCTATACTGTATTTCATTTTGATAATTGACAGAAGTCGTCTTAATATAATTATTAATTTTGAAAATGATAATAGATGACTTGAATAAACGTTTGTATGAAATGATATATATTTATAAATTTTTATATTATTTTAGAAATAAAATTTTCAAGAAAGACCATTCTTTTAATCTATTGTCGGAAGTCGAAAGCCCATACGAAAGTAGTCGCTCTACTCTCACGGTACTTAGAGCAGTGTTTCAATATCAACGTTTTGGTGTATATAGATCAATTAGACCACCCCACTTCGTGGATCTACGAAAATTTGGGCGATGTCGATTGCATCGTTATCGTTTTTTCGAACGGTATGGTCGAAAGTACTTCGCCAGCCGGACTCGAATTATATTTTCGTAACGATCTAACCGCAGTCCTTGACGAACGGGGACGTAAGAAATTTGTTAAAGTTTACTTCGACCATTTTAATACCGGATTGATCCCCAGAAATTTGAAACAGAGGGTATACGGACCGGAATATCATTTAATGAAAGATTTCGGGCGATTTATGTGCTATTTGTGCGACGTTCATCCTTGTTTCCGTACCGCTTTCTCTTTCCCCGAATCACCAGAGAAAGAAAGTTTACTAGAAGCAATCGATGCTGCTAGAGATTAAAGTAACTAGCACAAAGTAGAATTTAATTAAAGATTCTGATGCTAGCGGGGACGTGGAGAGAGGGGAGCCGAAGAGAAATAAGCCCTCTTAGTGATTCCAAACGCTATAAAATTAACGTTATTTTTACCGACAGAAAATAAAATTCTTAACATTACAATTTATTAATAAAGAAACATTCTACACGTTTCATCTGTTTATAAAACAAAGGATAAAGGGGCCCCATATAAAAACTCTCGACGAACTCCGCTAGTATCAATTATTTTTACAAAAAAAAAATGGAAATTAAGTGTTTTTATATTTAATCCTGTTAAGATTTGTGGTTAAATTTTATAAATATTTTTGTAATATATTTATTTTATAAATAAAATTAAATTTGAAAATAACTTGTATTAAATTATTGATCTGTAATCCTAACGTTTATATTAAGTAATATATGAGAAAATTTCTATAAATCAATATTTTTTGTTGAATAAATGTAAGTTTGCCTGTGCGTTTAAATAGCAATTTAATGCTTAAGAGTATACAGCATATATTAAATTTTATTATTGTTATTTTCCAAAAAAACTAGCATTCATTATGAGAAAAATGGGACATATTAAGACTATAAATAAAAAGAGGAAAATTTCTACTGGGTTAATTATTTAAAAGAGAGATTCTTCATTTCCTTTTGAGAAAGAAAATTATCTGTTATAAGTTATTAAATTCACTTAAAATATAAAATTAAAAGGATAATAATTGTAAAATTTGTTAGGATGTTAAATGTACAGTACAACTCGCATCTTATCGACATGGGCAATAACAATTTTTGGATTTCTGTTTAGGATCCTCTCTCTTTCTCGTAATTCCCGGTTTGTTAGTGCTTCTGTTTATCGGTGTTCGAGGTTTGGGAGGAACCACTTTTTTCGGTTCTGGTATAGGTTTGGTTAAGATCTTCCTAGGCGCAGGAGGAAGAACGGGTAAAGGTGGACGACGATACTTATTTTGCTCGTAAAACTTCGGAGCTTGAGAACAATTAAAATGAAACCACCAGTCGCATACGAAATATCTTTGGTGAAACACTGTTCCGTTGACGCACAGGAAACTGGCATTTCTTCCATCCGGAAAGCAAACGTGAAATGCCTGAATGAATGCAAAAAATGCGCCAGATCATCGACGATAATCTTTAAAATACAAAGAAAAAAAACTGAAAAATTACCTGGCATCCGGTTTCCGGGTCTCCGAAATATCCCGCAAATTCATAACGTAAACATTTAAAATTGGTTTTGGGCACAGTATGATATGTGGGATAGTCTATACCCGCTCTTCCGGGGATATTATCGTCAAGATCTATAAGATTTGTATCCAGATCGTTCCTAATTGAAGGCCTCTAGTATTTAAAAAAAGGAAGTATTCGTCAGTTCTGTTAACTTGTGAATAACTTAATTATAAAAATCGATTACCTGAGAATGTATCCTAGTTTGAAAAACACCTACGGACAAACGAATAAAATAATCAGATTTAAATTGCAATACTTCAAAATATTTAAAATTTTCTTTCAGATTAATCTGTGGAATTTAATCTTGCCATAGATTACAAAATATGTCTATAAATATTTGTTATTATTTCTATAACTGAGCATAATTGAGTTACCTTCAGTACGGAAAATTTTAGAAACACGTGAATAATTTAAAAAATAAAAGATGGAACTATATTAGAGCCATATTTGCACGCAAGCTAAACAAGGACCTCGAGTTATGAGTCTATGGTAGAGCTCAGGACTTCACATTCTTTACAAGATGGAAGGGAAGGGCCTATTGTATGTTATGGTTTAGAGCCACAGCCCCGGTATCCATTAATATTTTTTAGCCGTTATTCGTGTAGGATTTAGCTAGTTATAACTATTGTTACCTTCCATTGTTACTCGAATTAGAAAACTTAACACAGATACATCAATAGCAGAGAGTTTTTCTTTCCTTACAAAAATCCCAGTTTATGGCGATGGGGGAAAAGATAATCAAAATCATTTAAACGGAGAGAAGTAAAATTTACTTACATAAAAGAGCGAAAATCAGCTCGATTGATAACATTACAATACAAAGAATATTCGTTGAAGTAGAAAAAAATCCAACAATAAGTGGCACATATATAATATATCAGAATGGCAGGTGTTGAAAGTTTCCGTTACTTTCCACAACTATTACAACCTTCAAACATTTGTAGAGATTCACCCGAGAGGTCAAGTCGCCCGAGGATTTGGATTTTAGAAGATGACGACACGAAAAGAACTCTCGAGTCGAGTTGTCCAATTCTTCCCTGACCCACATCGTCAACAAGGGTGCAAAGGGTAAACAGATTCGTGATAGTTGCTCGGGAGGAAATTATTTGGCACTTCCTCAATTCTGTGAATTTCTTTATGATAATGGCATCTTTAAAATAAATTATCACCATATTGTATTTGGTATACACAGAAAAACAACCAGTGAAGAATGTCGTAAAGTATACGAACTTAATTTTTATAATTTAAACGTTGGCATGTGTCTAGAGGTACTCCTCTTGATGCTTTGACGAAGAGGAAAATATGAGTTTCCGACATTAAGGAATATGATAATTATACTTAATATGGCATTTTTTAGTGACAGGTGAAAAGGATGAAGCTTATAGCTTACTAAAAAAAAGGGTTATCGAACCTTTGATCCTGCAACCTGTGCTAGAAAAGAAACAGGAACTTTCTCGTCTATCGAAATTTCACATTAAATATCCAGCAGACAATAAAGATACATTGTTCCGTATAAAGAAAAGCTGGGCAAGTTATTATCTTTGCTAGTATGCCAACGGCAAGGCCCATCCACCAAGTAAATACACATTAAAAATGCGAGGTCCTGAGCTGCAGCTTAGGGCTTCCGTTTGCTTCTATATCAAAAACATAACGCAATTATTATAATTAATAATGGATGTTTATAGGGGCGAGATCGACGAGATTTGTGTAAGGGAGAAACTAATTTATTTGGTAGAATGAATTCTTCATTTAAAGGGTTAACGAGATGGACAAATTGTAGGCTATAAACTAACAAGAATCAAAAGAACGAGTCTCTCCAGTTTGTTTAGCATAAATGAAGGCTAAACTTTACATAGTATTATTAATTTCTTTATTGAAAAAATATATTAAATTATCATTAAACTTTTATAATTTTTTCCCTCGAAACTATGATTGGAATGTCGTTTAATTTTACTAATTAAAATAACGATAAAAAGGATTAATAAAAGGCATTTATTTAATAAAAATTTCTATCGTTTCACAGCGTTACGATGACAAAGTTTGTATTTTAATTACAGATTTTAGAATGTGATATATAATTTTCGTTTATATTTTGAATTTATGTGCGTTGTTTTATGTTTTCTTGCCTTCTGAAATGGAAGAATAGACGACATGGGCGTTGTCACTTCCCTCGAAGCGGGTATCTGTCTGTACGGACGAGAATCCTCGAAATCTTCCACATCTATACTTAAAAAAAAGTAACCATTAATGTACAAGATAATAAATTGTTCAACTTAGTATAACAATATTTCTGATTTAAAAAATTTTTTGTCTCCATCCTGTGAACACTAAGAGGGCATTTGTAATCATTCTGGGCCCGGTCGAACCCACGACGTATGGGTTCGACCGGGCCCAGGATGATTAGAAATGGAGCCAGGGGGGTCGTGGTTCGACATATCTGAGAATTGCCGCCCGTGAAAATTCCTGAATATTGCTCGCCCGGATTCCTGATTTTAATTCTGTAGGTGCCCACCAGTGGACGAGTGGATAAAAACGGCTGAAAACATAGTTAATCACGGGTTCGTGTCTCACCAGTGTGTTGGCACATAAAGTTTTCTAGGTTTCCTTCACGTGCGGCTAAATTTACATCGAAAGTCTTTCCTTGACAGATCATTCATGTGTTGTGCATTGTGGTGTCTTATCAAACCAAACCAATTCTTTACCTGTTTGGAATAAGTATTCTCCAGAAAAATATCGAATTTAATACAGGACTACTACAAATTACACGACTTCATATTGATTTTAACATTTAGTCTACTTTGCATATGTAAAATCGATGGGTATTCAATTTCGATTTACTGGTAATTTCTATTAATTTAATTCATGTTTTAACGAAACTATCAGTAATTTATTGGAATAAATTAACTAAATTTATAACATAAGGTTTAATCAGTTTAAAAACATTAAAATTTATTAAATTCGAATTTTATAAACTTATTTAATATGTGTCATAATTAACAATTTTTCCCCATTAGAGTCATTTTACATAAACAGGTTTCCTTTGTGCACGCGTTTAGAATAATAAACACGTTTAAAATTAATGAGTAAGCTTTTAAGGTAATAAATATTTGCTTAATTTCTTCGATTAAAATTTTACTCTTTAGTGTAAAGACTTGCACACGAAGTGCAAAAAAAATATTTTAATTTAAATAAACTTGACACGAAACGTTTCTGTAACGTTAATGAAGTTATTTTTTAAATAAAAGTATGGGTCAAATTTTAATCGCAAAGCTCGTTTGACCCAGTAAGCTTAGAGCAAAAAAAGGAAAAAAAGAAAAAAAAAACGTTGCGATCGATCTATCAAACTCGATCGAGACTTCGATCGCCATTTTTTTTAAATTACGGCTGAGTTTGAATTTAATTCTATTTTGGAAATAATCGTGCCCTCACCGATTATTACGTTAGCAAGATAATGCCAAAAATTAATCCATATGTTTGAGCATATTTTAGTCGTTCGAACGCATTAAAATACTGCACGGACGATCGATCAACATTAACAATTGATCTGATTCTCCGATACTATTTTTATCCTCATTAAAAAAAAAAACCCATAATTTAACGGTCTCGAAAATTATACAAAGATCACTGACCTGTAAGAATGTCCACCAACGGTGAATGCCCTTTTAGAGAGATGTCCGTCATGTCTTCGTAGTGTGACGTCTTAATTGAGTATTCTTAAAAATGGTGGGGGAAAAAAATCGAATTAATTGATATCAACTACAGGCAAAGTTTTTGAGGACAAAAGACAATATGTTTTTAAAACTAGTTTTTTTATTTGTCTTTCGATCGTTTCAAGGTTTTGACCTAATTTCAGATACTAAAAGGGTACCATTGCCATGGGTTAAACGTTCAAACATACGAATTTTACGTTATAAATAGGTCTTTACACGTGGCATCTGAAAGAATCGTCTTATTTTACATATTTGTAAGAATTATCTAGAAAAAAATCTCAACTAGTAACGATCGAGTTTCATAAAATATTCTACTCACCCGTCAAAATCCCGCAGAAGATTGCCAAAAAGAAGATCCATCCGATCATAATCGATTATCGACCGTTCGAGTCGTTTAATGTTGAAAAATGTCTATCCATCGCGTATAATCCAAGGTGAACTCCCTTCACGTTAACCGGGGCATTACTTTTCGCACGTGAGGACCTCGTTTGACCGATTCGGACACGCCTTCATCACTATTGTTTCCTATCCCCGATTACTTCCTTTACGTCGGCCATTGTCATTCGCCGCGTAAAACGATATTCAATTTTTCTTTTTATTTTTTTAAATATAAGATTTTCACTCGCGTGTTAAAGTGTCTAAACCAGTTTCCATTTGTTATAAAGTGGAAATTATTAATTATATATTATATAAATCGTGTTTTCTTTCTGCCTTTTGATCCATTTTTCACCGCGTAACAAGCCAATATCTATTAATGTCGATGAGTTATCCGTTCAAAAATATGAGGAACCAACTGGTATTTTAATATTTAAAAAAAATACCAAAATCTCGAACTAGAAAGTGGGTTACGTATACAGTACTTGTTACGTTTATCTCGATTATGTTACGTCGATTTTTTCTATAATATAAAATTTCTTTAGAAATCTCACTTAAAGTATTGATTTAACAGACTTTGATTATTAAATTAAAAGTTATCAACCATGCGATTAATGAATTTCACGAGTAAATCAACGAGTTAAGCGTTTAATACGGCGTAAACAATATACACGTCACGCCATATTTGCCGTTCGTATCGAACAATACTTGTACATTAATCAAATCAATTCCTTGGAGGCTCGAATGGATCGGGTTTCACGTTAAGATTTCTTTCCTTTTTTTTCTTTTAATCCTTTATCTATGCCTAAAATCTTAATTGTTTCGTTTTGATTCGTTCCCTTTCCGTTTTATTTTAGTGTCATTATGAACTTCCTTAATCGCAGATAATGCAGCTATTATGTGTCGGCCGTTCTCATTATGTTAAATTGTAAAAAGGGAGACTTCACTACAAATACAATTAGTATAATTGTGATGACAAAATGTCATCTTTATATTATGAAGAATTGGAACAACAGGAAGAGTTTTCATTATGTTATACAACAGAAAGGAAGAGTAAAAACCAGATTGGATCGTCGTATATAACAAAGCACAATTCTGTTTGACGTTTGTTGGGGGCATGAATTGTCATTATTTTTTTTTTCTATTCCTGAAAACATTTTGATGTAATTATCTTCGTATAAAACTTCATTTTAAAGATCTTGCAGTTCATTTCTACTACTTATTCTTTAATAAGCAAGATGTAATATTAATAAATTGATTTAATTATTAATCAAGCATTTCGTTATCCTGTGTTTACTTTGATTATTACAAACTGTTGATAACACCATTGAACACTGGTTAGTCGTGGGTTCGCTCCCGACCGACGGGTAGGCAGGCCAGGTAGAGTTTTCTAGGTTTTCTTCACGCAGTGGCTAATTTTCCATTGAAAGAAAGTGCTCAATAAAAACAACCGTAAAATACAATTCTAATATACTTTTATAAATAAAGCAAAACATATTTAACATGGATTATAGTAAAATAAAATATAGGAGTAGTACAAACATTAACATACACAATAGCTTAATTGAATTAAAAAAGAAATTCCTTTTAGATGGATATCCGAACAGACTAATAAAAGCCTGGGAAAAGAAAATAAACAACAAAATGATTCCTGTAGAAGATTCAGAACACTTAAAAGTAAAATTTCCCATACATTAAAGGACTGTATGAAGAAATTAATAGAGAAACGAGAAAAATTAATGTTAAACTCGCACCGAAATATGAAAAACTATTATCTAGACTTAAAACTCGAAAATCAATACAAAAAGGAAAACAACCACCAGAAGAAACAAAAAACATTGTATATCAAATCCCGTCTACCTGCAGTTCTACCAGATTTTACATTAGAGAAACAAAACGAAGAATAAAGGTAAGATTAAAAGAACACGTTGCAGATTTAAATTAATTAAAATATCGTAGAATCAACTCTGTTTTCCATGAACATTGTACTGTACTGTACAACAAATGATTGTAATATTGATCAGAATAATATAAAAATTTTACACAGGGAAAAGGAAACATATAATAGAAAATTCAAAGAGAGCATGCAAATCCTTAAAAACAAAAATTGCATAAATAAAAATTTGGGTATAAAAATAAATGAAAACTGGTTGAGAGTATTATAAATAAAATTTCAAAAAACTGAAAGTATTTTAATTAAACTTGAGGATGGAAATAAATTAAAATTAATTTAAAATGAGAAAAGTTACTGGCTAATTATTCAGTTATTGGTTCACCATCAAACTACGAGAGAATATGCTAATTAACACAGTACGAAACATCAAAAGCAAAGGGGTGATATAAGGAGACATATGAGAAGATGGGACTACATCTACTTGAGCTAAAAGGTTTTTATCAAGGGGGAACAATAAGTACGTCATTTTCATTCTATGAAGCTTATCATATTGGCTTAACTTATTGTGAATTTTTAACAAATGGCAGAATTTGAAATGCGAAATTTGCTTCCAACCCCTACGGTTCCTTGGGAAGGGTAGGAAAGAACACTAAATTAAATTGCAAAAGACAGGTACGTTATTTAATTAGATTTGCATAAATAGTACCGTGTAAAAAAAACCTAGTTAAGAAGCCTTTTTAAAAACAAATAGGTGGACATAAAATTCTGTAACAGCAGTATATTCGCATTTTAAATGTGTAAATTAATTATCGCTGTCCAAAGTGAGGAATACGCGAAGATATGTTAATAATGTGTATATACAGATTATGTATATTAATATGCTATAATAATCAGTACTGTAATTAAGGAATTTAAAGAAAAAATATTTCTATTTAAATAGATTGACAAGTTTAATGATCGTGTAAGTCATATACATATTACGTATTTAATAGGGTCTGGTCCAAAAAGATCGTAATCTGAAGGTATGTTTCGTATATAAAAATCTATACCAGTTATGTTTTTATTGACCTTTCGTGAACTATATGTTTTTATAACTTTTTAGTGGACTGAGGAGGGGTAATTTGAGCCCGAAACGCGTATGAACTGAATTGGAAATAGATATGAAGGAATAACAAATGATCGATAAATTACACTACATAGTGTTTAAGAAACGCATATACATGTATGTGTTTTAAATAGTGAATAAATAAAATAGTCTTGCTCTAGAAAAGTTGTATATTAAATATTTTCCAAGGTATTCAATATATTACCTTGCCGCAAAAATTATGCACACGTATGGAAAATCATAATTTAAACCCAGAATGATAACGTGAACAATACCCCCCCGCCATTCAGGTCCGTAGAGCCCAATATGTGGGTGTTTATATAATAAAACTAGCGATTGTAAAAGGAACAATGTTGCTATTTGTTCATTTATAAATCTAAAAGTTAGATTTAAAAAAAATTTTATCCGTTTAACTTGTCTCCCCAAGATTAAATTTTGAGTGTGCCACTGCTTGACTTAGTAGCGTAAGGGATCGTCCGTAAAATTACGTAACACTACTTTTCAACTATCATTCCACCACCCGTAACGCTCGTCACACGTAACCAATCCTAAAATTACGTAACGCGCATCCTCTATCAATCACTTTAATTATACAGTACTAAGGAATAATTCACGACACGGAGTACGTTGTCGCCATTTGGCGAAAAAAATTACTGTAACTTAATCCGTACATATTTTACAAATATCAGCCGATTTAAAGATTAGCGTTACGTAACGTTTTGGTATATGTTACCATATATACCTCCACCTTGTAACTCATGGCAACGATCACCCGCATACCCACCAAGTATCTTCGTTATGTAATTTATAGACAATCCCGTAGTGTGGACTTAGATATGGGCCTATTTCCGGCCGGAACACAACTCTAGATGCCACAAATCAATATTTACGAAAAAGAAACAGTTCAAACATAACCCAATTTTCCAATTTGAATATTGGTTTTTTTTTCTTATCTATCTACTATATAAAACAAAAAATGGCCAGTCTCTGTCGGTGTATCGAGCGCCAGCAAACCTAGGAATTGCCGGAGTCCTTGCTCGACTCTTTTTGATTGTATATGGCACGCATGCTGCTTGCTGTGTTATTTAAAAAGAATTGGATATACTGTAGTGATATAGGTCAGTACATGACAATGATAGTTATGCTCTTTTGTTTCATTATTATGCTTTGAACTGGAGACGGGATATTACGGTATTTCTTTGCAATCATAACGGAAATATGTAGTATCTTATTGGTATTTTGAAAGTTATTTCACGAGAATTGGTCTTAGTACATGACAATGATAATGGGGCGAGGGCAACTGCCCATAACTATGTGAATCGCGAGTACATTTATAACTTAATCCAACCGATAGGAATTTACTGGTATGTTCAGAGCCGGCCCTACCATAGGGAGAACGGAGCAGCCGCTCCAGGTGCTAAGTCCTAGGGGGCGCCTCAGTGGTAAAGAAAATTAAAGAGTATAAATTAGGGGCAACCAAGGGGGGCGCCATAATAGGATCTCGCTCCATCCTAAAACTTGCCTCGGGCCGGCACTGGGTATGTTTTTGATATTTCTGTAGTCTATAGTTGACAGGAGTTTAAAAAAAAACCATTAAAAAATTTGATATATTTATTCTGCTCTCCCATCTTGTATTACTTATAAATTTCAATGTTAAATTAGCGATATTACGATTTAGTATGTCCCATCTACAAGGGGTTGAAGAAAAATACGTATACAATTCTTGTATAATGTTAAAAAAATTAACCGTTACTTTGGCAGCATCATTTACAACTAAATTTAATGAATGAGACACACGAGGATTTACGATTTATGTATCCATTGTCATAAAAATTTGTCTTTCCACTTCTTTCCCGAGACTACAAATATTCGAGTACAAAGTAACCGGCTTCGACTTATTTCTACTTAAGAAGTAGTTAAATAATTAAGAGATTAGAGAATTAGGGACATAAATAAAACCCTGACGAAAGAGCCGGAATATTACTTAAACAAAAGCTTAACCGAACCGATCTCTAGCCGCGTACAGTGGGGACCGATTTCTTCGTAATATTTTAGATGTAATAAAGACAGAAATTTTTTTCCAGTTCAACGAGAGTGACCGAAAAGTTGTAAATTTTGGAAATTTCCGTGGACAACACCTGGTCCTAAAACGAATTAGTTAGAAAACAAACGACGGACAATCTATTAAGTTTAACATTTAGACTTTTGCAGCTATGGTGAGAAACGCTTTAAAATTTACAACCCTGTCGAATCCTTTGAGGTTAACTAGTGATGCGACAAAAGAGGCATTTGACATTGATCGGTATCGGTACCCTCGGGATTTGGCAGCCCGCGTACATGCACGCATTGCACACTCACAGGACCGTCTCAGATTCCATCCATTAGCCACTCATAGGGAGTTATTTGACTAAGTGGATTGTTTTAAGATTTTATTTTATATTTATGTATGTTTTTTACAAAGCTATATTTAATTATAATTTTCTTTTAAAAGTATATTCATTCAATTGAAGAATGTTTTGTACCAGGTATGTATATCCACCATACATTTTATTTCACCAAGTACGTTTTTATAATTTTATTTTTAATTTTAGCCCTTATATCGTGGCTAGCGATTCGGAATGTAATTGTAATATTAAAAATACATTAAATTAAAGAAATTTACGATTTTTACTGGCTTATCGAACAGACGAATACAAACCTAGACCATCACTGACGCGCAATTAACTGATTGCCCCTGGAAGTCGGCTTATTACAGAAACACGGCTTCCCTATCATCAAATGTCACGGAACGCCACTGATTAGTAGTACTCGTCACTAGCATTTACTTCACAAATCTTGTAAGTTTGAAATTCCTCTAATTCTTGGTGAAATTTCAAACTTACAAGATTTGTGAAGTAAATGCTAGTGACGAGTACTACTAATACTATATTGTACGGTGAAGACTTGTATAACAGTCCTGGCAAATATTCGAAAAAATATCTTTTGATATTAAATTGAAGAGGGGTGGGTACGTTTCATTTTGTACTTTTATGAATACTGCTTGGATTAATTGGATTATAATATGGAATTTTTCGGGTTTTCTCCATGTTTGTAACGTCTAAATAGGGACCAGTTTCCCATAAAAGTCCTCCCGGGAGGAAGCATCCCTCGGCAGATTGCCCATGCCATAAACAAAATGTTTATCACGAAGTGTCGAGGAGATCGAATCGGAAAAAGAGTATGGTGTCGAGTTTTTTCGGAAGTTCCTATTTTCGTCGGAGTCCCAGAAAATAAATATGAAAAAAAATTGACACAGATCCTTATTCCATCACTCCACTTCTGCTCGTCATATAAAAAAATTGTATGCCATGGTTTTCGTTTAATTAATATAAAAGTAGGTTCAAATTTAGTTACAATGAGCACGAAAAACACGCATTACTCATGGACGCCATCTCAGTACCAGTGTGTAACTAAATCTGAACCTAGGAAAACACCAAAATTTGAAGGACCAAAAGTCGAGGTCCACACGTCAGCAATCTTTCCGGTGTAAAATGCTAACAATTTAGCTAGTTTTCATAACATTTACAAACTACAGCGCCATCTCGGAAGGCCTTGTAGTTAAGCGTTTTAATAATGAGAATAGTTTTGATATTTTTATAATAAATTTTTTAGATATTTTTATAATAAATTTTTTAGATCTTTTAATCAGAAATTATTTCAAAAGCTAATTTATAATACTGTACATGAATCAATAATTTAATAATTGCACGGTAAATTGTTGCAAATAATAAGTTTACTTTGTGTAGACGTGATAGGAGTGTCATTGGGCTGCAATTTAGACCTATAAATTCTCATCGTCCGCCTGTCCTCCCTTAGGCCCTGTACACACTAGGCGTTTTTCAACGCGCGTTTAACGCCGAGTTAACACGCGTTAGTTCGGCGTTTAGCACTGGCTCAGTTTGGAAATGGACGAGAAAGTAATTGATTGTGTGTGCTCCTCCATCGTCGCTATAAGGCAGCACATATATCTCAAAGCGCCCGTAAAGTGCCCGCAAAACGCGCGTTTTAACAAAAATCTATAAACGCGCGTTTAACGCGCGCTTGGCGTTTGAGTGTGTACGGCTACATAGAACTCTTGGTTCTTTAAAACGCGCGTTGAAAAACGCCTAGTGTGTACAGGGCCTTAATCTCGAGATTGGAGTTAGAAAGATGAAAGACGAGATCAGATGTGGAAACTTTAGGGGCAGGATGCCCCGATTAACTATATACGAACTTCCGATGCAAACCGGAAGTCACGTTGTTTCAATTCAAAACTTTACCCCCGAAAGGAGTTAGATGACCGGCACGACTCTAGTGCTAACAGGAAAGTATGATGTACAGGGGCAAGACACTACTAATTTGTAGTGTCTTGTCCGGTATTGCAGCCCGGTATTGTGACGACGACATAATAAATAATCGCTCGTTTCAATTGTTAAATCACAATACTTAAAAAAACCGTTTCCAAAAAATTAATAAAATAATTTCAATTTTTTAATGATTGGAAGCAGATTTAATTTTGTTAAATAAAATTATACAGACTGTTTCAAAATTATAAACACACCCAACTTTTTTCAAAAACAAAAACATTTACAATTGTAATGTATTTATTATATTAGTATGTTGTTTACAACATCAGTTTAAACATTTTCTGAAAGTTTTAGAGCAATCTGACAATTACAAGAAAAATTATCACAGATTTTTCAATTTTTGATTGTTTCAAAGTATAAACACATGTATACAAAAAAAAAAATTATTTGTGATGTTTCAATATTTTGTAGTCCACCATTTGATTTAATTAGTTCAAATACTCTATCAGGCATACATTTTACTAGTTTTTGAAGTTGTTCTTGTTTAATATTTTCCCAACAATCCATGATAGCTAATTTCAGTTCATTTACAGTATTGTATTGTCTGTTTTGGTCATAAACAAGACGACTCGTAATGCCCCAAACATTCTCTATCGGGTTCATATCAGGGCTCCATGATGGCCAATCGATTAGATTAATTTTTTTCAGCAAACCAATTTTCAGTTTACTTTGATGTATGAATGGCAGCATTATCCTGTTGGAATTGCCAGTTTTATCCCCCAATAAGTGACCAAAAGTTATAAAATTTTGATACAACAGTTCTTGATACTTTTCTGAATTCAATCTACCTTCTATAAATACAATATCAGTTTTACCTCTCCATCCAAATCCTGTCCACACCTTCACAGATCCTCCACCTTGCTGTCTGTGCAATCTGACTTCATTCTTCTTCAAATCGTGTCAGTAGTGACTATAACTGTCAGGTCCATTCAAATTCCACTTTTTTTCATCTGTAAAAACTATTTGTTTCTACACCCCTTTCCATGTCATCTTGTCTTTGGCCCACTTTAATCTAGTTGTTTTGTGCAATTGTGTTAATTTTGGTTTGGCAGCCATTTTTGTAAATTTGTCATTTTTATGATTATGCATTACATCTCCATACAGTTGCTGGTGAAACTGCAATTGGCAATGTTGATGCTGCTTCTCTGACAGACAACTTGTTGATCGTCAGTAGCTGAAAAACCTTTCTTTCATTTCTAGGGGTAAGGAGTTTAGGCCTTTCACATCGCTTATTTCTGCCATAATATTCACCCTAAGTAACACATTTCTCACAGCACGTGTGGATCAATTTATAGCTGCCAAAGTTTGTCTTAGAGATTGTCCTGGTCCTTTTTGTTGGTAAATTTCGCATATTTCCAACTCTGTTAGTGTTCTTCCATGAGGCATTGGTTTAAATCACAAAAACCATTTAAAATTGGCACCATGTTTTTAATAATAGTTGTCACCAGAGGGAAGTATCACTCAATTAAACCAATAATTAAAAAAAAAATTATTATACTAGTTTTATGCACCTGTGTTTATACTTTTGAAACACTCAAAAATTGAAAATCTGTGATCATTTTTTCTGTAATTGTCAGATTGCTCTAAAACTTCCAGAAAATGTTTAAATTGATGTTGTAAACAACATACTAATATAATAAATACAGTACATTACTATAGTTAATGTTGTTGTTGTTGTTGAAAAATGTTGGGTGTGTTTATAATTTTGAAACAGACTGTAATATGGTTCACTAACATAATTGATTTTTTTAATTAAAAATCGAACGTACGTATAAAATTATTTATGAATTAAAAATTATTAATATATTAATAAATATTAATATTAATAAAATATTAGTAAGCCGGGACGACATTTTAAAAATTTCACAAAATCGTCATTTGAAAGAATCGCGACACAGTATTTTTAGGGTAATCGGTAGCCAAGGCGGTGGCAACGTGTAACGCACTCTTAAGCGCCATCTATCGTAGAGTTTGGGCGCAATGCTTTGAAGTGACGAAATGCCGCTGGTATCAGAAGGAGTGCTTCTGTTTGCCTTTAAATATTTTATATTATCGAATATTCTGGTGGCGATCGGTATATACGTAGACAGATGGGCGGCGAAAACCATAAAGGGCGACAATCTAGCCTTTGTCGATACTCTGGTGCATTTTGCTCTGGGTTCCGTCAGCTGGTGCATGGTGATTTGCAAAGAAAGTTTCGTTCGTAATTACAGATTATACAAGGAACTGTTCTTGTGCGGATGCTTGTCTAGTTTTATAGACATCGATCATTTCCTCGTGGCTAAGTCCTTTCGATTGAGAGTGAGTACCTTATCCTCTGTCAAACCAACCGAAATGTCAATTATTTAATCAGTTTCTTATCAGATGTAATCATCGAGGTACTGTATAATTACACATCTGAATGAGATGGTCGGAACCTTACTAAAGCTGTAGACTTTTTTGCTTGCACACTATCTAATACTATGGGGGTCAACTACTCTGTCGAGGTCCCAAACATATCATCGACTCGAGCCCATTTTTACGTGTTTTAAACAAATTTCATTATGAAAGATGCTCCGAAGGATTAATGCGTAACTGTTCTAATGATGGAGTGCCCGCTGGTGGCCGAGCGGATACGCCGGCGGTCCGTCGTGGGTTTGTGCCTCTCCTGTTGGTGGGCCCCGCTGAGTTTGCGGTGCCTAAACGGGGGGTCGTTTTCTGTCGAAAGTCCTCTCAGACGTTTTCCCGTGGCGGATTACTCGCACGTTACGTTGTCTTATCTCGTCGATCTACGAGGGTGATTCAAAAAGTAAGGTAACGAGAGCTCTCGCATGTGTCGTATTCCTCCTCTTTTCGAATTTCCCATTAGGGCAGCAGCAGAAGATCATAGCTTTATCACACAGGCGTTAGATGGTGCAAATGTTGCATCAGACTTGCAATTCATTTTGAAAATGGCTGCGCTTACGGAAAAGTGGTCAAATGTGGAAGTGCTTAGTGTGATTCGGTCTGAAGGGCAACTCGCCAGTAGAAATTCGTCGTCAACTTGTTGAGGTGTACGGTGGTAATGTCATGTCTAGAAGATTTGATCCCAGGATCTCGAAAATCGGGATCCCAGGATCCCGACAACTTTTCAGTCCCAAAATTTTCGGGATTAAGTTTTCCTAATCCCGAGATTTTCGGGATTGACATCATTTTAAAAAAAGTTGCAAAATAGACTGCACGAAGCGAAACGTTCAGTGCCAGTGCTTTAAACAGAATTGCTTGCCTATCATTTTAATATAAAATACAAGAAATTTTATTCCAAGCAAGCAGCAGAAATTAACCTAGTGGGCTTGCGATGCTTGCTTGGAATAAAACTTCTTGTATTTTCAACTAAAATGATAGGCAAGCAGTTCTCACTGGGTTACTTGGTAATATACTTCATTTTTGTATTTTTGAATTTTCGCGGGCGCCAATCGATTTTCTGGCGCAGTCGAGAGCACTACTCAGTGCGTTTTACCTGTCAATGTGTCAGCCATCTTGTTTTGCCAGTGTGGTTAATATAGACCCGACGCCTCTCGCTTAGGGGGGTCGACCTTAGGTGAAAAGGTTACGACCCTCGCCTTGCCCGCGATCTGTCAGGATGATGCGAGAAAGTCTTTTTACGTTTCGGGGTAGTGGTTTGCTGGACGCTGAGAGACTCACACAGAGACCGAATTTACAAAATTAACGCGTTTATTTTTAGAAAGACATGCTTACAATGATCGAAACAATCGGGATTGTAGCCTTTACTCCTACAATCCCGATCCGTGTCGACCGGACTGTTTTCTTCCATCCTCCCCGTGTCCTCGAAGCTTATAAGTATTTACTAACGATTCCTCCAACTTCCATCAAACCTAAACGCGTTTTCTCAGCAGCTGCATATATGTGCAACAAATTGAGAAGCAGACTTGGTGATGAGACACTGGATGCGTTGTTATTTCTCAGATCATATTTTCGCAATTCAAATTAGAATGTTCCTATTAGATTAGTTTTCTTTATATTTAAGAAAAATGTGACTGATTAATATTATTTTTAAATACTTTTTGCTAAGAAACTTACTTTACTACCTACTTACTAGGTTGTTATATGAAAGTAGTCTATTTAGTCGATGTTAAGAGAGATTTTTGTTAATTTTCAACGTTTATTTGCATAGTTTGTTACATAAAGGTTTTTTCAATTTATGTGAGTTTAAAGAGATCTCAGTGATGCTTAAAAAAGAATAAATTTAACATGAAGACAGTGATTTTAAGTCTGGTTAGTCTGACTGTAAGTCTGATTAATTAGAGTGATTAAATTAACTAGGTGTATACCGTAAAATACGTTGATTTTTGTCTAAATTTTGATTTTTAATTTCTGTAAGATTTTCTTATTTTTTATTAACCCTCAATACCGAAATAATCCCGGGATTGAATAAGTATAATCCCGAAATCCCGGGATTAGAAATAAGGACCGGGATCAATTCCCTAGTCATGTCACACTGAGTTTGATAAAGGCAGGACGGATGTGCAAACTGAACTGTTACGGTGCTTCAAGTGGGAAGTACTGGAACATCCTCCTTATAGCCCCAACCTGGCACCCTGTGATTTCCATCTCTTTGGACCATTGAAGAAGCATCTGGGTGGTAGGCAATTCCAAACAGATATGGAAGTTCAGCAAGCGGTCATGGCGTGGTTGAAGGGACTTGATGCAGATTTCTTCTCTGCTGGCATTGATGCCTTGGTATATCATTGGAATAAATGTTTAGACAAGCATGGTAACTATGTTGAAAAATAATAAGTACCTGTACCAGTGCCATAATAATCTGTATCACTATATCTGCCTGTGAAATAAAATTTGTACAGGAGAGCTCTTGTTACCTTACTTTTTGAATCACCCTCATATTGAGATTGGATCTCGTGCGGCACCAACAAATACAGTCCAGATACTTTAGACTGAATGCCTGTTTAGAATGGTGTTGACCTGCACCGGGATCCAGAAAGTTGAATGTGGGATAGGGTGGCTGTATCTGATCAAAATTGTTTGTTGGACTGACAATAAATATTACAGGCTTGCTGTGGACTGCACATATAAATATAGCAAAAAAATTAGTCGCAATATTTTTATTTCCTTTAATCATTTAATTTAATTTTTAGCTTTGTTTTTGTTTTTGTTTTTTATATTATTTTCTAATTTTTTAATATCAATTGGCATTTTAGATGCCATGCAATATGCTCGATTTGTTATATCTTTGTCCGTCGGCCTGTTTCGATTCTTTGATTTGACAATTTTCAATTTCAAAAAGAATGATTTGCAGAGATAGATAGTTTGAGTTGCAGTTGGGATGCATGTTGCCAGTTGTTTCAGGTTGGGAAATTTATAATCTTGAATAAAATTTGAATTTTATCAAAAATAATCATTGGCTTCAAAAATGTATTTGAATTCTGTATTTGATTGGATTAATTCCATTTGTAAATTTGAAGATGCTGATTGTACAATACATCATCATTAAGCAAACTCGAGAATATTTTGGAAATTTCCTCATTCTTTTGCATAGTTGAGAATCTGTCATGGAATGCTTTAAAAGTTTTCTGACTTCATTTGCATATTTTGAAAAATTTTTGTGGTTGTTATTAAAATCATTTAATAGTGGAGATAAATGGCATTATTTGTCCTGAATTGACTATAATACAGCTTGAATTTTGTTGCGAATGATTTTATATATCTTGATAACAGTCTGTAATCAATTTATTTTCACCTTGAAGCTTCTGATTTAGTTCATTTAACTTCATTGTTATATTTGTTAGAGAACATAAATCTAGAAGCCACTGTTCATTGTAGAACTCAGAAATATCATTGGCCATCTTTATTCATGAAAATCCAAATTTCCTCTCAAGTTCCAAAATCTTTGTAGACTATTTTCTAACTATTGAAGACTGAATATGATCAAATAAAATAAAAGATTTATTCTTTTACCTTTTTTTTTACTAGTATATATTTATGGTCCATCATTTTCACATATCAACTCATTAATTTATAATGTGTTTTTGCTGGTTTCACTCATAAATAATATCTATATGTTGTTGTTAAAAACACATGCATCTTATAGATGCAACTGAACTAAACTGCTTCAGTTAAGAAAGCAGCACTCATACTGACTCAGATTGGAGTCAATTGTTTCTGTACCACAGAAACAGTTTGGAAATTTCCTCATTCTTTTGCATATTTGAACTGTTTATGCACCACAGAAACACTTGACATGAGTAAGTAGAGTTGGTGTGCACAGAATTGACCGATACAGTTTTGGTGTCTTCGTGGAATTTGAAATCTAGTTTATACTTGCTTGAAATGTGGATGCTCAATGCACTTTGAATGTTTAAATATAACAAAACTGCTATTCAATTTAATCTGTGCCCTGCTGTATAGAAATGTGTAAGACTGATTGGATTTTTGGCACAGTTTTGTTAATTCAAAAAACTGGATGCGCTGATTCAAGTGGAAAAGTCTGACTGGAGCAGAGTTGAAGCAGTTCACTTTGGCAGACATAAGACTTACCTTCAGTTGTTTGTTATCGGCTGATATTGGGCACACACATGATCTGCTTGCTAATGGCTTTTTACTTGTTAAATTTACACAATATAAGATTTTTTTAATGTTATGAATAACAAAATGTAAAATATATAGATAGATGCTTCAGAAGGGCTGTAGGAAAACTCCATTTGGGCTGCATGCATCCTGTGGCTGTGGTTGGACAGGGCTGGGATAGGGAATGTCACTTCTAAATCTTTTTGGTGATTTTGGTGGTGATTGTATAGATATAGATATCCTGTAATCTATATTATATTATTCTCACTTATAGGAAAAATGTGTCCTAGTTTGAATGAAACCTTGAAAATAAAAATGCATTGGTAAATGTGATAGTTTTAATGTTCTGAGAAGGATATTTCCTTTTCTTCACAGACGATAAAAAAGCATATGTGGATAAGTATCAAAAATTATACTTTGTAACAAATTGTATCAACACAACAAATATGTGTAGTCTTCAACCAATATCCGGTGTGAAAATTCCAAACTAATATTGGCAAACGCTTTCGATGCCCCTCCTGCACTCTTCTTCAGGCCAAATTTAATGTACTGGATTCTTAAATCGAATATTTTTAAATAAGAAGTGCTCTGTTACTAGAAGTTTTAAGGGAATATACACCATTCCCTTAATGGACGATAGATGGCAAAGGCAACTAATTTACATAGGGTCCACTAAACATCCGTTAGCCACCAGAATAAAGGAAGATAAAGCAGACATCACCCACAACAAATATATGACAGCATTGTCGTCATATGCAACAAACCCAGACATAACCCCGATTTTTAATGAGACACGGGTCATCCACACCACTCGTCATCATGAACATCTAAGAACTTTGGAAGCGATGGAAATTTACAAAGCAGATTGCAAACTAACCTGCATCAATCTTAAAGAAGAAATGAATCTCTCAACAGCGTGGCGGTATTTATTGGAGGATGAATCGTAATTTATTATACGATACACCAGATTATTATGGGATGCGCACATCGTATATCCACTAGTTAAAATTATTTTTAGAAACGGCACGTGATTATAAAATACGCGAGATTATTATAAGATGCGCACAACATATCTCCATGAATATAAATTATAAAGAAATTATAATTCGGAAAGGCACGCGATTACCTTCCTTATTTGAACTTCTAGTAACAGAGCACATTCTTATTTAAAAATATTCGATTTAAGAATCCAGTACATTAAATTTGGCCTGAAGAAGAGCCCAGGGGGGCATCGAAAGCGTTTACCAATATTAGTTTGGAATTTTTAAACCAGATATTGGTTGAAGACTACACATATTTGTTGTATATGACCCAGTGTGGGAGAAATCCTTGATTGTATCAACACATCAAATCTGCTGAATTGCAATAAATTTAACTTATTCTGATCATTTCTTAAAGATGGATCTGTTTCAAATATAATAGGTACAAAAATAGTAACACAACTGTCTATTGGTGTTACAGAAAACATTTATTTATGTGAATACTTTTGACAGTTTATAATATAATAGTTTCAAGAACAATTGAATCAAATCAATTATTTACAAAAATAATTTAATTCAACTTAACTCTGTAATTTAATTTTTAATTTTATAAGCAAGAATGGTTTAGGACGGGTCGGCAACCTGTTGAGTCGGAAGAGCCAAAAATTACAATTTTCAAAATTTCAAAGTTTTTAAAGAGCCACAAAATTTTTACATAACTTTGAGAAGATAATTCGCTTCTAACTCTTTTACTCAAAACAACAAACTATACGTCATAGCCAAAGCACTGGTGAAGACGCCAAATTGTCTTGCGTTGAAAGCGAATTAAACCTCATAGAAACATCCGACAACGCCGTCATTCGAAAGCTTCCGACAGACTGACGACAGTGACGACTCGTGTCACGGGGGATAGGTGCGGTGAAAAGCGAGTATAAGTGGCTGAGAGATAGAATCGGTGCCTAATCCTCGTTAATCGATTCAGAACGATTTTTAAATGTTTTTGTTTTTGATAAAATAAATAATATTTGCTTATGGAACTAAAGAGCCGCAGCTTCACATCCAAAGAGCTGCATGTGGCTCGCGAGCCGCAGGTTGCCAACCCCTGGTTTAGGATAAATCTGAAATGTTTTGTACAATTGATTTCTATAAAAATGAACAGAGGTGAAGTGTTAATCTTTCGTGTTTTTCAATGTAGGACTATGGATATTTTACAGGGGCCAGAATACATGAATGGATATTTTTGCATGTAAAATAGGTGAAGAATTCTGTACCATCACACCTGATGGATATTTATTGCATAAATGCCTGGAGGACTGATCCAATTCAAGCTTCAGTTAGAAATGGATTTGCTGCTGAAATTTCTCTGTGGAGTCCACCTATTTGCTCTTTTCTCAATCCATGTGTTGTGACAGAAAATATCCATGTGTTTTAGCTCCTAAGACATGAAAAAGTATAATTTTTTAATGAAAATGTATTAGGTTTTTCTTCAATATCAAGCCGTTGCAGGTCCCACCAGTGGCCAAGTGGTCTTAGTTCCCTGAACACTGGGAGTTCGGTTGTGGGTTCGTGCCTCACTCAGACGGGCTGGCCATGTGGAGTTTTCCGGATTTTCTCCACGTCTGTAACGCCTAAATAGGGGCCAGTTTCCTCAAAAATACCTCCCGAAAGGCATCCCCCCTAGCAGATCGCCCAACTGTTGCATTGCCATAACTTAAACAACAATCAAGCCATTGCAAAAAGGTTAATAATTATATTTATTTTTGTCCTTTTTTGGTGTGATATTAATGAATTATAGTATATTTATTCAACCTATGGAAAGAATCAACTTTGATATTAACCAATGAGCATCAGACATTGATCACAGAGTTGTGGCAAGTTACTTCTGGTTTCGTCCGCATTTGTTAAATGTGTCACCAATAGTCATAAACAGTATTAAGGAGGCTTCACATTCTGCTATTGGAATATGAGGAAAGTTTGCTATAGTAGTAGTTAAATGCATGATCCTTTAAATGAAATAAAATTCACTTATTGCCTGACATATTAAGCAAAAAAGTGCTGACATCATTAGGGAAATGGATCCTAAGAATGTCTTTTTAATCATACCAGTTGTTTTGCCAAGCCCAAGGAACAAGACCTGACATATCTGGAACAGTCTGCCCACAAAAAATTCCTGGGTTGCCGGCCAGGATTCGATCCCAGTCCCCCGACACCTTAACTGTTTTGGCCATCCGGCCATCAAGTTCACACATTTATTTTCTAGACAGGGATATATTATTTATTTCGTCTAATATATAAATTCATTATGTGTCTTTGCAAATTATCAAAATTCAATATATCATAAATGTGACTGTCATTAGAATATGAAAAACAAATGTTAAGATCCATTTTTTAATGTTATGAAGAATCTTATTGGACTATATTTCTGCACCCAATTATTGTTAACTTTCTTGTGGCAAGCGATTCCATCTTTCATTAGAAAACTAGAAACAAAAGCAATATTATATAGTGCAATAGTTAAAGCTGGTTTATTTTGGTAAAATTTTTTAGAAACACTTCATCTCAATTGGATCAAATGCATTTATCATTAATAAATTTGAGTAACTTGTAAGAACAAAAACATTCTTTAAAACTATTTTTGTTTCTCTTTTTAAAGTTTTTGTTTATGAACTTAGAATATATTGTTGTTGGAACAATTTTGTCTTGAAATTATTGATTCTGTCAGTGTTAATTTTAAACCATCACTAAAGAAATTTAAGGAGTCGGCTTATTGAATTTTGATTAAACATTGAAAGTGTAAATGCACAAATTTTGTTATAGTGTTGCAATAATTTTCTTATAAATTATCAAATTTAATGTCTTCCATAGATGGCATTATTGAATGATAAAACTAACTATAATACAAGCAATTTAAATTTATTATTATTATATTGTTATTTATGTAATGCAATTTTTCCCCTTTTTCTAGGATGCGCTGTCTCTACGACAGAGACCGCCACTTCACTGCACGAGCTTACTGCTTTCTGCCATTTTGGCACTCGTTGTGCTCGGAAATGTGTTGGGAAAGGAATCTGCCCGAATGGGTCTGCTGTTCCTGACTTCTGCCTACACGCATCACTTCAGAGATGGATTAAGAAGGGGCCTGTGGATCTGGCCTTTTGGCTCCACTCCGCCCATTACCAATCTGTATTATGTGATTTGTAGTCTGACATTCCCCTTACTATTTAATGTGATATTGTATAGCTCGGAATGGAAGAGCTGGTGTGGATTTGGCGACAGAAGCATTAAATCGATCAACATCGTATAGTTTATTAAATTGTGTAATTGCAAGTCGTTCTCGAATCGTCACATGTAGATGTCAAATTTATCATTAAACATCTTAAACTGTATATAAATTGTCACCATATTACATTATGCATTTTAATTTTATTTATTGTATAAAAAAATCTTCACAGAATGTACAAAATTTCAATAAATATTTATTTTTACATTTATCTATAAGAAAGGAAACATTACAGTATTGAAGAACTGCACTATTTTATTTCCTGTCCACATGAAACAACAACAGCCATACCAACAAAGAATAAGCAAAATTAAATTTATGGATTCATTTGATCGTGGAATGAAAATCTTTATAAATGGAAAGACTTAAAATTTTATTCGATACTGTGATAAAAAGACGTCAAAGGTATTAGAGTTTCGTTCGAAAGTTATGCAAAGTAAAACTTTTTACAGATGATTACGGTCGTCGGACCTCTGGAGTACATCAACAATTTAACAAAGTGTACTAAAAAGTAATTTCCGTAAATTGGCAGTATTGGCTTCTCGTAGAATTATCGTACACGAATGTCATAAAATATTTCCGTCACAAAATGAGACATTCTAATTTTCCACACGACAGAGTCGATGACCGAACGAGTAAGGAATCTCGAATTTAGTCTCGGATATAAATCTGTGCATCTTTATGTTACAAAAGGCAATTGTTTTAGTCATTAAAAACACCTTAGTTGGTCCACATTACACACAAATTCATAGCAATTTTTAAAGCTCCTCATTTATAAATGTAAGCTTATTTTGTGACATCTAAATGTTAGGCAGTGAGATTTGACCAGATGTGGATACGTACCGATGGGTCAAAACGAAATGGAGTGCTGCGGGCAATGAAGGCACTATCGAAATCTAATTTAAACAATAATTACCAATAGGAATTAAACATATACAGTAATAGCAGAATCTTTCTATTACAATTGTCAAATCTTACGTAAACAAAACAAAATTACAGTGTTATTTTAAATACAGGAAATATTTTAACGGATACAGAACATTTTATGTAATCCCAACATAAAATAACTGAATCTTAGATTAATAATTAAAAAAAAAAAAAAAACGGAACAATACAATAAAATAATTTCAAATTTACGTGGAGTCGTCTCCCCTACTGGTGTATATATTAAATTGGTAGACGAGATCTTTTTTTTTTTTTACAATTAGTGTCGAAAGTTTTACCAATTAAAAATCCAAACTTTTGACTTCTTTTAAGTACAGTAGTTTTACTTTATTTTTAATGTAAGTTAATTTTTACACATGATTCACTGCGACATTTGTAAAAAAAAACAAAAAAACCAAATTTAACCGAAAAAATTAACTTTTTTATAATTTATAGTTTACAAATCTAGAAACCAATTTTAAACCTTACTACTTGACTCACCATGTCTATTGGGCAAATTAAAAATTTAATTTGCCCAATCCATTGTCATCACTTAATAATAATACATTACAAAATATTAAATACTCTTACATGCAAATGACTAGCTTTTATAAGAATTAAATAATTATTTATAGCGGTAATGATGATCTGAAACTTTGTTGGACCATGGAAAATTAAAGAGATACGGGAAATCTGTTAACGGCTAATTAATTATCCACGTGTGTACGACGGCATTAACTTTCAACCGTGTTGTGGGCGTTTTTTTTTTTTTTTACTTTAGATGTACAACTGCTCTCTCGTCGGCAATTAAAAATTTGAGATACTTCAAAAACATTAATAATTTAAACATTTATCTTGAAGTGTTTAATGGCAGTAAGATATTCTTAAAGATATAATAGTTAAATATGACTTTTTAATAGCACTTTTATCCTTCATATCAGATAATCGATATTATTAACAATGGGGGAAAGAAAGGGAGATGCACAAAGATAATAATCAGCAATTTCTTAAAGATTGCATAATACTTAAAGGGAGGGAAAAAAGCACTTGATTTAATTTATAGATGATTAACAATATATTACATTGATGATTAGAAAAAAAATTTCTAGAAAAATCAAATTTTATCGTCTGATAACCTCCTTTTGAATTTTGTGGCTAAATTATTTATGGTAGTGGTAACGTAACGTAACATGTGCCATGTCTTTAAGTCTCAACCGAGAAATTGATCAATGGCATTTTGAGTAAGTAGTCCGTTTTACTGATCTACTTGGAAAATAAAAGAAAAAACATCATATATCACAGAAAATGAGATTTTTCAGAAATTAATATGAATGGAATGATGATTATATGTTAACACAACATCTTTAAGGAATTAATTGTAACTTTTCTAGTGACAAAAACATTGTCACAAAGAATCCCTGATGTGTGCCGATCTCTTCCTTCCGATGATTGTACAAGATGTTACGGATATAAAAAAGGAAGCCGCAACGCACTTAAATACAGTATGTTAGGTAGAGATCTATGAGCAAATGATATTGACAATGACATTCCATCGGTTATATCACACTAAATATTATCAATCGTAGAACAAGGCTCGAACGTGGCGCGTCAGTTTTCTTCTCCTACCTCTGCTACTCACCGAGAGTACTTCCCTGGCTTCCGAACCGATCGTGTTATCGGATTCTGGCTCCCCATCACTTTCCTCGCGATATCTGACTGTCCTTTGTCCTCGGCTTCTCGTCTGCATTCTAGAAGATAATCGACTAGGTGCATCGGCGTGACGAGTGTGTAAGGCACTCCTTGTAGCTCGTGTGCAGTTGCGTGTGGCCGTACGTGATGATCGGCGAACCGGTGCATCGTCGTCGTCCTCCTCCTCATCTTCCTCATCATCGTTTTCTTCTTCACTAAGGTTAGACGTTTGTTCAGTGTTGCTGTCAGAACTATCATCATCACTACTAGTATTCTGTTTGCTATTGTCATTAGAACTATCATTTTCACTTTCGTCTACTCTGTTATCTTTCTCTTCCGAACTATTTGAACTAGTTTTTTCTTCTGATTCACTTTCCTCACTTGGTTCACTTATCACTGCTCTCAATCTTGTCCTTCTGGGTCGCAGAACAATTTCCGGTTCCGGTTTACGTACAGAATTGACAATTCTACATCTTCTCCTGAGACGAGTCCTTTGTGGTCTAAGCTCTTCTTCAGAATCTTCTTTGTCGACATTGCTGCTAATTTCGGTTTCACTATCCATGTGATTCGCTTCCTCCCTTAGTCTAGAATCCTGTCTTGTTCGTCTCCTAGGAACTGTTTCTTCTTCAGAAGAATGCCTGATAGGTTTAACTCTTTTTGGATGAGATCGTGTTACTATTTTTCTGGTTTTAATTTCTCCGTTAGTCACACCTAATGTAAATAAATGTAATGATTAATATAGTTATTACAAAATTTCATACTTTTATCTGTAATAATATTATGTCTCTTACGCATCAATATTATATTTATAAATTACTTATTCACCTGACTTATACTTGCTCCGAGTATTAAGTTTTTTCGTGGCTCCTCCCGATGATGACCTTGAATTATCTCCATCTTCCTCGTCGCTTTTAATAATTCTTTCTTTTTTCCTCGGACCTAAAATTTAAAAATGTACTCATAATTTTTCAAACTACATCTGCCACATTGGAAATTTTTTATTATGTAAAACTGAAAATTAACATGCTAAAGGTAAGCAGAAAAAAATAATTAATATTAAAAAATTAACACTGTACAATTACAGAAGAAATTTCAATATAAATATTTTGAATTTAAACCACAATGACATAATGAATAATATTGTCTCATTGACATTATTATTTATTTATGATAACATTATGCCTGAAAAACAATTATTTTCAGGCATAATGTTACCATAAGTAACTCTAAATAAGTTAGCCTTGTCATCTTATATGCAGAGTTACACTTGTCTCAGTAATTATTAGAAGAGTTTTAGAAATTAATGTAACAATTTATTTACTGTTTACAGTTAGTGCTTAAATAAAAAAATTTAAAAGTATTCTTGACAAAAAAAAAAAAAATTTTATGATGATAAAAGTTTATTACCATCAATATTATTATTATTATTTAAACAGCCGTTATATTTAGTTATGATTCTGGAGAATGCATGTAAACTAAAGTTTGCACAAATCTGAATCAGTTATACCACAGAAATACACTGAAGTTTACAGGATGCATTTCACAAATGAAAATACAATGACATTCTGCTAATCTGGCATCGGCACTAGGGTTTCTCATTTCCCGCGAAATTTGCCTCCAGCGGGATTACGGGAAAAATAATTTCTTTTCCCGGGATTCCGGGATGAGATAGTAAAATAGAATTTTATATGAATAAAGAAGATCATACAGGAATATCATAAATTTGAATAATTTAATTTATTTTCTAGTAAGTAACTAAAAGTGTAGGGCCAATCTCACCCATACGAACACGTTAGGCTCAATTAATTTATGTTCTCCTACATTATAAGATGAAAGTAAAATAAAGCGTTTCATTGGGAGTTTTAATGATTACGAAAAAAATTCTAATTGTTTCTAAAAATAAAAAATAAACTAAAATGCGATGAGTGATATTTACTTTCAGCAAGTCTCCGCTGTTCAATGATGCACAAACACAATACATAGATATTACATGAACTAACAAGTAGAGACTTGTAAAACATAGGTAATAATAGCAAGAAACCTCAAAATTTCTCTTTTAGGTGAGTCTTCAAGATGCAACTTTTCGTATAATAAATAATAGAAAGAAAACCTGACACGGTAAATTATTATTGAAATGCGAGATTTCCCGGGATTTTTCTCGTAGGGAATAAACGGCGAGAATCCCGGGAAAGAAACCCTAATCGGCACCAATGTGGTATTGGATTATCGAATATGCTGACTTATTGGACAATGAAATTTTTTCTGGTTTTTTCAATTCCCTGGACACAATTTGACATATATTTGACAAGAAATATTAAAGTGCATTACTTCAAACTATGCATGTAAAACTATAAATCTGCCTTTTATGATTGCTTAACACACCATTTCAATTTTTCCAGATTATTCCTACCCTTGGTTGATTTGAAACAAGAACACACTAATCTTATTTTGTGCTTTGTACACTTTTATCTATGTCTACTTCATATTCTATATATTTTACATATTAAAAGCAAAATATTCCATCATTGCCAACTGAAACCACAACTAACACTTTACAAAGAAGTGCTATAGACAGAGACTCAGCTGTTGCTGTCTGGGCAAAATATAAGTAAATCAATCAAGACAGACAAGTACTTTATCCTCACTTTCCGAAATATTATGTTACAATTGATTTGATTTTAATTTTAATTATTACTTTTAGTTTTAATTAAATGGGTACCTAGTTGTGTATAAATACAGATACTCAATGCATTGATACTTCCCCAAAGATGAGCTGGATATGTCAGCTTATTGGGTTTGCTGGCATACCAGATGCACTGTTACCAGAATTTCACTGTAGTCACATTTACTTAGAAAATACGACAAGAAACAAAAAAAAAAAAATGCTAAATGAAATTTTTTCAACATAAAGTTTAGTTTTTATGCATAATAAGAGTTCTTTATCATCATTATTATTTACACTATATTATTAAAGTACATTACTTCAAAATTGCACATAAAACCCCATAAGTTACAAACCCTATATATTAAGTCTGCGAAATATAAGTTTTATTACACTTCAAGTGATTTTTTGTTCCTAATAAACCTGGATATAATAATAACTAAAAAATATATTAATGAATTCAATAAAATAAAAGAAAAGATTATTATTATAATTTGCAAACATATTTAAAAACTCTTAATGTAAATGGATTACGTAATTGTTTCTTTCAACTATCTTACCTGTTCCATTAGTTTTGGCTTGGCTTGATTTATTTTTAGATTCTGTACATGAGGTATAATTGCGGCTAGTACTAGGACGTGAAATATCTCCATTCCTTAGGGAGTAGGAAGTGGAAGGCTGTGACATGTTTGAGGTACTTGAACGACTAGAAGTACCGCTTGTACTTGGACGGTTTAAGGCACGTGATGAACTTAAAGAAGGAACTATGTCTGTTCTAACTTGTGCAAAAGGTCTCCTCCTATGTAATTTATAATATATTTATGACAGTAAAAATTTAATTACATACCTGATTTAAGTGTATGACAGATATGAGTCCGTCAATAATTTACCAATGCCAAAAACATAAGTAAAATATGAACTAACCTATGACTAACGTACTGGTTGTTCCTTAATTTTTCTTCATATTTAACTGCAGATCTCCAGTCGCTAATAATACCTCGTATGTGTTCTTCGAACATTGCCGATAAGCGAATGGTCATTGAATAAATCTAAAATATGTATATGTAAGATTTTATTATAAGAAAACTATCAATGCATACTTACATTTTAATAACAAATTATAGAAATGCATTACTTACACGGGATTTCTTATTAGTATTATAATTTCTAGAATTTTGAAATAAAAGTCTCATATCTTTGCAAAACTTAACAGGACTATCGTAATGATCCGCTAATAAATTCTCTCGAATTTTTCCTAAATCCGTTGGGTTATCTATTATATCACGATAATTCTATTGAAAAAGAAAAGAAAGTTATTTTAGAATCAACTTTTCTGAATAAAACTTTAAAATATTTATGAATTAAAATAATAATTTATTTTATTAACATTTAAATTAGAAAAAGCTTTACTAAATTAATAAAATTTAATAAAAACACTTGGAGATTCTCAATCAGAAATGAATTTAATCAAAATGTCTTAACTAAATACATCAAATCCAAAATTAAAATTAGGAATTAAGAAATAAATTTTGCAACAGATTTGAGAAAAACAAAACCAGAACAGGATCCATTTCCTCAATATAATTCTAGCTTATCATTATGGCCAACATAATTAAAAAAAAATTTACCAACACATTTGCAATAATAAATTATATTTTAATACTAAAACTTTTTGTAATATTAGTAATCTTCAGTATTATAAGTTTTGTAAAATTATTTGTTTAACTATTATTAATATAATTTCACATGGATAACCTAAAGTATACCCCAAAAAATTGCTAGGACACAAAAACTTTATGTAACACCACCTCTAAACAGGAATTTGAAAACAACAAATACTGGTATGCAATATAGAAGTTATCATCTCAAACATTCTAATTTTCCCTTCTTTCATTTTATTTCTGTTAGCAGTTCATGTAGAGATAATCATAAAATAAATAAAACAGTCTCATTAATCAAAACTAACTACCAGTGTAATCATTTGGATTAGTGGGATCATATGTAAAGAAAGGTGAGCCAAAAACGGCTAATGACATATTCAATATGTCATTAACCCTTTTAGCTCCAAGAGCCATTATATTTGGGAAATTACCAAAAACTCATCTGTTTTCAAGATACAAGTTCAAGTAAGTGTGTCTAATAATATTAAAGTATGAACTGACATATAGAAAACGAACAAACAAGAACTGAAGACTAGGAATGTGTATACATGATTTTGATAGTTTTGGAAAAAATCATAATGACAAATGAATATATCTATGGTATTCAAAACATGTCTTGTGTTTGTAAAGATGCTCTTGGAAAGATTAATAGAAAAGCTGTTTAATGAGTTTTTACGAATAACTGAAAGTTAAAATTAGCAGAATAATTAATCTTAAGCAGCATTAATCTATATCTGCTTTCAAATTAACTTTTATCAATAAATACAGATAATCTGCAGGTTATAAGCATAAAATTATAGTATTATTTAGCTAGTTACTAGATATGACTGGAACTAAAATACGGTCAACTGCCGATTATTTGTGGGTGGACTGTCTGCAAACAAGATCAATTACAACCATACCTGTATAGTTGTCTATCAAACTGGCCAGCCATACATAAGATTGCCAAGTATGTTCCATTTTCATCAATAGGGATGATGGTAATGTATAATAATAATTTATATTTGAAAAAATGCTAATTACTATTAATTTTTGAATTTATTGTCATACAGTGAATTTTATTACTGATTTTTATATTATATATTTTTTAATTTTTTGCAAATTTCACTGATATTTATTGAGCTTTGCTCACTTGGCTCATTTCTTTACTTTCATTTCTGGTTTAAATGAAACATCCCAAGAAGCCTTGAATAGCTAACTAGACATTTGCCGTTAATGTAGACATGTTTGTAATGTAATGGCTGAGTGCAATATAACAGCAGATATCAGCATTAGAGAGACAGAGAGGTCCAATCTAAAAAAGAACAGTGTAATGGCTGGAAAAAAAAGGGTGGTTTTAAAAATTCAGCAAAAACTTGAAATTATAAGGTTTAACGAATGAGCAAATTTCTATGCAATATGAAATAGAAGAATTAAGTATGTGACATTTTTAAACAAAAGGATAAGTTGTTACATTTGCATTGTCATCTGATTTGTCTTCGTAAAAAAAAAGTAATAAAGATGTCTACATATGATGAACTTCATAAAACATTATGTAAATGGTTTGCATAAGAGTGAACTAAAGGAATACAAATTTCTGGGCCTATAATTACTAATAAAGCAAACTTGTTTGACTTGCTTGGTTTAGATGAAAAGTTTGATACCTCATTGGGATGGCTGACTCATTTTAAACAAGACTCCATATCAGGTCATAGGATCTGCATACCAATAAAAAATTGCCATATGATCAACTTTTTAACACAATGTCTCATCATTATGCACAATTGTAAAATTTATCACATACACACCGCTGAACTGAAATAATTAACTATTCTTAAGCATAGAAAAACATGTACACAGACAGATAATTAGCTTTAAAGGAGACTCATCTGCTGTACAACGTTCACATGATTTGCTGTAGTTCAAAACTTGCAGACTTTGTACCAGATTCTAATATATACACAAATTTCTTAGACTAGAAAAAAAAATGCACATTAGAATCTAGAAAATACAGTATTACAAGAAGAAAAAAACGGTTAGATGGACAAACAAATTTTCCAAAATTGGCTTCAGAAACATTTTGTTTCCCAAGTATGAGACTATTTGAGATCCAAAGGTTTCCTGAGAAAGTTGGCCCTGTGTTGGATAATACCCCTTTAAACCCAAGTACACATTTACTTAAAACTGAGGGGGGCAATTTTTACAAAATATTTTCCACTCAATGTAACCAACTTAATTCAGCTCATGGACCAGGAAATCACTGCAGCCATAAAACTGAAATACAAATAAAGTCCAACTTGTTATTAAAAATAGTTGAAGAAGGTTCTGACTTAAAAACTTCTTGGAATGATTATTCAATTCTTAATTCAATTTATGATATGGCAAATGCATGAGACAGTAAACCTGCCACCCTCAGAACATCACAGAGAAAACTTCTGGGTGATACAAGTGACAATACAGAAAATTCAAGTGATGTAAGCATTTCATCATCCAAGCTGTCTACACTAGTCAGATCAATACCTAGAGGACAGAATATTGAAAAAGTTGACATTATCCAATGACTGTGACCTTATAGGCCCAGAATTCACCTGACCAACAAGGAAATAGTTAACAGAGCAAGAAGAATGGAAGAAAGTGAAGGCAATAAAAGAGACAATACAGATTTGCAATCGGTGAATCAAGAGCTAGCATTACAGTTACACTGACAGTTCCATTGAGTACTTTGAAGAACAAGATGCCACTTTACTTGATAAACTTGTTTTACATACACTTCAATCTATAAAAAACAAACATTTGGATGCTAAGGAGTAGAAAAAAGTTATTGATTTCTTTATAAAGTCTTAAAATGTTATGCACTGTATTTATATATATGTAAGTATCTGTAATAAAAAAAAGTATTTTTCTTAAAATTTACTTGTTTTTATATTTTTTCCTTTTTTCACAATTATCATGTTATTTGTGTATGTCAATTATCCACAGTAGTCATGTCACCCATTACAGGGGATAATCAAGAGTCAACTGTAGTCTGAATTTATTTATTTTTCTATAATCTTTATAAAAATTTGCAAAGATTGCATTAAAAAAAGTAAATATAGATAATTAATATATTTAGTAATATTTTGTAAATAATTATTTTTCATTGTTAACTGAAATTCTTTGAAAATCAAATTCTTATTTCCCATTATGACAATTTCATATCTGAATACTTGGCTCAAATAAACCAAAACTTTAATACGAACATTAATAAAATATATATAAAAATAACACAATATCTTACTGGATATTCATTTAAATCTACAGGATTTCTAAATGGAGTGGAATCTTCACATTGAAATATAACATCTAGTAAGTCTGTACACTGCTGCTTCCAAGATCTCGATGTGTATACTTGTGACGATTCTAATCGTCGTCTCTTGTTTGCACGATGAACATTCTGTTCAAATCATAAAAAATATGTTACAAAACTTTGTCATTCAAAATTAAACCAAAAAGTTTAATAAATATAATTAGTGTGATAATTTATTGGAAGATTAGTATGTAAAAAATTTTCAATTCTCTCTTTATAGATAAACTGTATGTCAAATTAATAATATCAAAAACTCAAAACTTTAATTACACATAAAATAAATAGATACTTTTTTATATATCTGTTTCAGCATTTACTTATGATAATTCACTAAAATCTGTGAACTATCATAACCATCAAATAATATTAATTTTGTAGATATATTTCTAGCTAACTTTTTAAAACGCTGATTGAAAAATTAGTCAATAACTTTTCAAGAATATAATTTTCACATACTTTACCAACAAAAAGAAAAATCTTCAGGCCCTAGTTTTATTATGATTATATAAAAAGTTTTTTCATTATATTAATGAATGAAATGAAAATTAATTTGCAAAATTTTTATTAACTAAATTCTTGACAACAATTTTACTTTTATAATTCATGTATAACTGTTTATTAAAAATTGTTTTAAATTTTTTAATAGAAAACTTGAATTGTTGTAAGGTGATTAGTGAAACTTTTGCCTCTTCTCTGATTTTTGTTTTTCTTTTCTTTTCTTACTAATGAGCATAATTAGAATTGTGTTCACAGAGCATCTAATCATTAGCCAACAATTTATTGTTTATGTTAAATAATAAACTTAACAGTTTTAAAACTAAAAATTTCTTTACGTATGTATTATATTCTTCTATAATAATAATAATAATATTAATAATAAATCTCTTTTGTTTCCTTCTTACATAAATGTAAAAATACGAAAAAATTTATGTTTTTCTTTCTCTTCTGACTTTTGAATAATATATAACTTCAATTTTTAAAAATATCAAGCCAATAATGACTATAAAATTTCCAAAAAGAGTTAAAAAGGTATAAAAAAGAGAATAATTTTTTTTGGAATAATAATAATAATAATTTGTTGACAAAACTGCGTCAAACAGCTGGTTAGATTTGGGATGCCTCTTTCGGGAGACAGAAGGATTCATGATTGCCATACAGGATCAGGTCATAAATACTAAAAACTACAGAAAACACATACTCAAAGATACAACACTCACAAATGACACATGCAGAAAATGTCACATCATGCCAGAAACTATACAACACATCACTTCTGGTTGCAAGCTCTTGGCACAGACAGATTACTTACATAGACACAATCAAGTAGCAAATATAATACACCAAGAGCTTGCAAAGAAACACAAATTGGCAGACATCCACGAACCATACTACAAGTATATTCCACAGACAGTATTGGAAAATAACACGCACAAAATGTATTACGACAGAGCCATAATCACAGATAAAACAATTTACCACAACAGACCAGACATCACACTCATTGACAAACACAATAAAATCACATACATTATAGACATAGCCATTCCAAACACTCACAATGTACAAAACACATGCACTGAAAAAATTAGCAAGTACACAGAACTCGCCCAGGAAATAAGGCATCTGTGGAGGATGGATAGGGTGCTTATTGTACCTGTTGTTCTCTCCTGTACAGGTGTGATACCACACACACTACACAAAAGCCTGGGAACATTACAATTGAATAGAAATACATACATAACACTACAGAAGGCCACTACATTGAATACGTGCCACATTGTTAGGAAATTCCTGAATACAGACACACACACTGACACACTTATTTAATTTTAGTTTTGTTTTGGTTGCTATGCCTTGACTTTGGTCCGGCATAGTACACAGCCACCGGTGTGAACCGAGTATAACTCACAAAACCCATCATAATAATAATAATAATATATAAAATTAATTTATAATCAGTTCTACACATCACTTAATGATTATTCCTTTGGATTGGACATTCCAATGGCAGCATGGTGTTGCAACAAAGGAGTTCTCAGCGCTCAGTGTTCTCTACATTCACTATCTTCTGCTCTGCTAGACATCAGCATACTTCTGGTCTAGCAGCACGACTCCAAGGTTAAATGATGTCCAACTTCATCTGATGCCAAAGCCATGCTGTGTCAAATTAGCTGCTGGCCAGAGTTTGACTATAAACAAGACTCTGGCAATGGCTGGTGGCCTTGAAACTCCATATTGCTGCTGGTATATAAACCAGCTTTTACTTATATTTATGCTAGAATATTATCATAGCTGACAAGCATAGGCAAGGGCAAACTTAAGCAGTGGATAATATTAAAATTTAAAATAAAATTGTATGTTTCTATATCATTTTTATGACTCATAATAATAAAAAAATAACTTTAATGCTATAATAACACAACAAATCATAGCAATTAATAAAACTGCACATAAAATCTTAAAAATGAAATTATGTAGTATAAATTTCAAAACAGTTAAAAAAAGCATATTTATTAATTATCTTTATATTATTTTCATTATATATTAACTTGATTAATGCAGCTATTTTAAAACAGTATCATTTAAGGGCTTAATATTGCTTAAAAGAGCACACTTTTTTGTGAGTCTACAATAACAACTGTAGAATTAATTTAGAAAATTTTACATTAGAGGCATTAAAATAAATTCAATTCATTTTATACACAAAGGTTATAATTTGCAAAGACTTGTATATAACAATTCAAATAATAAACTTTCAGTTTTATATTATGTTATATTTAGTTCTGAATCAAATTCAATTATAATTAATTGAATTTGATTTACACTCACCATTTTCCGCTTTCTGTCATTATTCTGATTGATATGTTCTTCATCTGTATCGGAAATATAACTGTCGGAAGTGGCATCTGATTCATTAAATTGTCTAGCTTCCATCATTTCTTGATATATTTCCATTGGATCTTCACAATTTTGGGCACTGATTAAGTAATAAAAGTCATTGTACTATATTTAACTGCAATGTAACTTGTAGATTATTATTATTAACAGATGTGAACAGCACATTTATATTATTAATAATTTACAAGAAATATAATACTGTGTAAACCCTTAATACAGTATATAAAAATATTCCTTTTGAATAAACACAAAACATCAACCAATTAAAAACACTAAAATTTATTATTTTAAATTAATTTAAGTATTAATTCTTATCAATAATTAAAAATAAATCTCCATTTAATTTGTGTTTCTGAGAAAATTGTTTTAAAACTTAGAAAAATATTCTAGTTGATTCGTTTTTTGAAACCGTGTTTTCGTATTTATTTACTATTGAACACAAGACTGTGTTATTATTAAAACACTTGGCATTTATCCACTTTATTCAGTTGAATTCAACTGAATAAAGTGGATAAACGCCAAGTGTTTTAATAATAACACAGTCTTGTGTTCAATAGTAAGTAAAAAAAATATTCTAGTTACTTAAACATTTTGTAAATAAAGAATATAATATCCAGCACTTTTTTTGTCATAGAACGCAATGGAATGGCATTCCACCACCTTTTTTCGATATATTTTAAAAGTTTTAAGAGAATTTTTGAAAGTTTGATGTTTGGTCCACATTGAATCGCTCTGTTGAGCATAGAAGATCAGCAACAAAATTATTAAGACGGTCCTGCTCCTGCTTTTTTGCTGAATCTTGTGTATGATGCATGCGTACTGCAAACTTAGTTTGTGATGACTGTGACATACTGCTCGCCTCGTATTTGGCCGTATCATGTTTTGGCGGCAATGCAGGAATCGTAGTGCTAATTGTGACCGGTGACTGTCATTTTGACTGTTTTATATTTCACTAGTAGCCTGGGACGGCCCCTAGTAAGCATTCTAAGCATTCTAACAGCATTATAAATTCGGAATTTGTAATGTTGCTAGAATGCCCATAGATGAGCGTTCCACCACCTTTTCCCTCCCAAAAAAAAAGCACTGATAATATCTAAATATTTTATTGACTGTTTTCATTTCATTAGTTCTTACTTTCATTCCTAACTCTTGCTTAAAAGTTAAAACTAACAAAAATATCATACACCTATTAAATGAATTTTTATAAGGATGAAACTGTACTGTCTTTCAGCATTAGATTTATTTACTTGATGAATTAAACACACTTAAGTATCTTTGACATTTTGAAATGTCAAAAGTAATTGCATACATTAATATTAATTCATGAAGTAAATAAATCTAACGCAATAACACCTTCAACTGTCGTAAATCATTGAGTTATAATTTGGCAATAATAATTATAAATTACTAATAAATATAGTCTGACAGTTTACGGAAGTTGAAGATGTTATTTCTATGTATCAGGTTTAGTAAAGATGTTTATATTTAATAAATCTAATAGCAAAAGACAGTACAATATCTTCCATATACTACATTTGGTGTCATAAGTGAGTATATAAAGTTTTACAATCATGAATTTTTAATTATAAAATTAAAGAATTCAAGAACATTTTACCTCATCTTATTCTTTCCTTCTACATTAAATATTTTTTTTTTTTTAGTTTATTACTCTAATAAAAATCGATTCATTGTGAACCAATTTTGATTTATTTCACCAAACTTTTCTTACTTCTTTTAACAAATCTTTCCTTACATAATATTTGTATTTTATTCCTTATTTATTTTAAAATATTTCATAGAAACAGATTCATAATAGCATTGTATCTATACATTATCATAAATATATACAGTGGTACCTCGGTATACATCTGCTTTAGAATACGTCCTGTTTGGACGAAACAAATTTTGCTCGGTATACGACTTAATGAAAACCAACAGAAAACTAAAAAAAATTACTAGAATCACAATGAAACTGAAAAAAGAGATCATTGAAAAATATGAAGGTGGCACGTGTGTTCGAGATTTAACTGTTGCATACCGTATTCTGAGAATGAAGATATCAACAATCGTGAAAAATAAAGACATTATTAAATCTGCTAACATTGCGAAAGGAGTTAAATCAATTTCTAAATAGAGATCGAAGACATTAGATCATGTTGAGAAATTGCTTTTGCTTGGATAACTGAAAAACAGTGTGCTGGCGACATCCTATCAGAAGCAATTATTTGCGAGAAAGCTAAAAAGATACATGCTGATCTCATGAAAAATCAAGCAGGAACTAGCGAGGTGTTTAAAGCCAGCCATTTTTTTTACATGAGAACGGATTAATCATTTTTACATTACTTCTTATGGGAAAAGTTGGTTTAGTATATGTCCTATTCGGTATAAGTCCAAACATCAGGAACGGATTAAGGTCGTATACCGAGGTTCCACTGTATAAGAATAAATCACACAAAACATTGAAATAAAATCTTTTGAATATATTTAAATAAATCCATGTCCCAGCTGCATCTACAAAAATAAACCCACACATGGGTTTATTCAAAACACATTTTGTAAGCTATGCATAAACAACCTATTCCAAATTCTAACCATGTAAATTATTGCATCACATATCTTGCCATCCATGTTACTTTTTTAGAATTATTTTTTTAGTTTTCATTTAATAACTCCTGTGACCACTCGGATCACAGGAGTTATTAAATGAAAACTATGCCAACACATATGAAAACACAGATTCAAATAGCCCTGCAATGGGTCTATTTGAGTGCATACAGTATAATTACAGTAGAGCGTCGATTATCCAAATCAATTGGGGACTGGGATTGTTCGGAAGATCGATGTTTCGGATAACCGATTATGTATGAAAAAATATATTAATTTATCCCATCTTGACATTTTTCTCTGTTGCGTGTCGCTTCACGTTGAATTTTCGTCGATGTTAAGCCTAACGAAGACTATTGTATCGTTAAAATTTTTTAAATATTTTGTACGAACAAAATAAATATATTGAAAAATATAAAAACAATAAAAAATTATACATCAGAAGTTAATTTAGTATCAAAAATGTAAAATATTTGAGTAGCCCAAGACATAGCCAAAGATTGCAGTGCCACAGCACTGGCGAAAATTTAAATTTGCCGACTGGAATTCTTTCGGATGATTGGCTTTCGGATAATCGACGCTCTACTGTATATAAATTAATAATTTTTTTTCATTTCTCTTATTTCCATACAATTAAATAGTTAATTACCAATTTTCAGTTAAATTAATTAATGTATGATAAGTAATATTAATTTTAGATCCAAAATTCTAATTTAAGTTAATTTTTTAGATTAATAATGACTAAAATTATAGATGTTCCTTACTATTTTTCCAAAAAAGTTTAACTCTATCTATTACTGTATTAAATATTTTGACTAATAATTTACTTTGAGTTTTTTCAATATGATGCAAAACTTACTCGATAAAATGCAGCAACAATTCGCAAACTATTCTAGCATCTTGCACGATTCGACTACTTGGTTCATTGAATTTCTTAGCATTTGTCTCGATAAATCCGACGTCAAATTTCACAGCTTGAATTCTCCTAGAAAATTCAATTAGAATAATTTAATTGCATTAAAGGTTTAGGAGACAAATCTAAGATTATTAAAGTTTTGGTCAAATTATAGATATTAATTATGAAAATTTGTTTCCAACAACAATTTTCTTTTAATACAATGATTAGTCTGCAGTATTAGATTTAGTACAATTAATTACCATAAACTATAATCTATACATTACACATTTACTTAGAATATGTATTTAAATATCTTACGTAAATACTGACGATCATGAAAGGGGCCTAAGTTAGTTTTCATTTGAAGCTAGTTTGACTTTTGAATTTGTAAAAATTAAAAATATACACACTTTTTTTTATCATAAAAAAGAAAACATGTATATTTACTCTTGCAAAATCATTTTTTTTATGTAACTGTATAATTTCATGAATAATTTGTGAAATAAATTTAATGTTTTCTCATTTTTGACTTTTGATAATCATCAGCATATATATAAAATAGCAGAAAATATAGTCAAATTATAACATTAGAATCAAAAATATTTTTGGTAATCATCAGCATGATTGACTATTAACCTGTTAAAGGCGTTATTTTTTTATTCCTAACATGATACACCAATAAAGACATAATCATATATAAAAACTAGTACTTAACATCTACAAACTTTAAATTAAAAAAGAATTAATCGTAAGAAAAGTTGAATAAACTTAATTCTATGGCCGATCCTTAAATTCTATTGCATTTTTAATTCTCCTGCCTAATATTTATTTTTACAAACCTGTAATAATGGTTTTCCAATCTTGCCTTTATAGTACTCAAATCCATGGGATATTCGACTACAAACGCATACATCGGATACTTGTTTAAATCTACTGGCGATATAAAAGACTCTGCGCAGGACAATTCCATTATTTTTTCGAGTCCTCGGATAAGTCTGTTACATTCCGCCACTTGACCTCTGGGAGACCATTCGTTATCTTTAGGAGAATACATCATTGCGAGACGTTCTTCCGGAGTGATGTCAACGCTACCGCCCATGACTGAAGGCATTCCTGTCATAAACAAATTGACAATTCTGTAATTTTAATGAAGATCAAAGTATAATATAATTTTGATGTGTTATCGAATATGACATTTAACTTCACATTCATATATTTTTTAAAATTTTAATCAGTGTGGTTATTAAATAAAAAGCGTATTTATTTGGAAATATATTAGATTACAAAAAAATTTAAGAACTTTATCTGTATTATCCTAGAGACAAATAATAATGTGTGAGTCTCCGTGTTTAATACAGACAATAAAATGTCTTTGTTTATTGTGTAAACTTTAATAAAAATGTTTCAGCAACAAAATTTTTACACAGTTCAACAAAAGAGATTTTGCAACCACAGCATACCCAAGTTTAATGATAACTGCTAAGTATATTTTCACGTTCTGAATTTCCAATAAAATCAAGCAAGGATCTATGAGATAAAAATAATTTAATACTTTTCCTAAACTTACATCATTTATTTTGAAGAATTAAAACATTTAATGCTAGAATATTGCCAAAAAATGAGTAGATTTGATGATAATTACAAAAGGACGACGAAATATATATATAAATATTTTCTACAGAACTACAATTACATTTAAATGTACACATCTTATTTATGAAACGTTCTTTGTTCAACAGACAGGAAAAAGTTATTGGAATGTCAGAATTCAAAAATATACTCGTCAAATCATTACATCTGCAAATCATAATGATTTCTCTCTACATTTGATATATCCATTTCAATTTCTTCATAAGTCACATACAAATCTAATATTTTATAATGAATTGGAATTATGAATATGAACATACTACTTTCATCCACTCGTTCAAAATCCCAGGGGCTCATTTTCTCTGTCTCTCCATTGTCCCACATAACAAGAAAACATTGGAATGTAGAATCAGGCAATGAGCTATCTAAGGGTTCTTGTTCTTCAATTGTCCCTAACCACCATGCATTGTCTATCACAGATCTAAATCTATCACCTAAACAATTATAAACATCATCAATTTTTCCATACATATTTTCTTTTATTAAAATATACAGTAGACTCATGATTATCCATGTTTGCTTTTTCTAGTTCTATTAAAATATCTTCTATAATTAATTAACTGTTGGTTTGCTTTGTAAAGAAAAAAACATTGTGAAAAGCAAGGTTTATCCCATGGGATACAAAAAATGGATATGTACTAGCTGTACACTCGTTAAAACAATACATCTAATATCTATAAATTAATTTTAATAGTTATGAAATTATTTTAAATTAACCCCTTAAGCATATGTCTTAAACAACTACAAGTAAGAGTTTTAATGACGATAACCAATTAAATAACATCACTAAAAATTAATCATAATCGTAAGATGGTTCTGACTTCTTAAACCACTCTCAAATCTTCACTAACAGAGTTATTATTTAATTATCTAATGTTTTCCACTATATTATATGTGTCATTATTTAAAAATAAGTAAATATAATATATTTAAAAAGTTTTTTCATATGTTAAACATTGGATTTAATCTATATTTAAATAGAACTAAGAACTGAATTGTGTCCAAATAATTACATTAAAAATTAATTAACAATTTGGCAAATTTATAAATTTAAATTAGATGATTCCAAATGATTTAATGTCTTTACTACAATGATGGGCCGAAATTTAATATAATTTAATTTAATTTAATTTGTAAGAAACAAAATTAATGTTTATACAAAAAGTGTTATAAAAAAAATAATATATAAATCTTAGAAAAATAGATAATTAAAATTTGGTAATATTTATTTCAATATTTAAAGAAGCTATGTATGGACTCATATCATTCATGCTTAAGGGGTTAAGAATGTGTACGTACATACATACACAAACACATTAGTTTTAAATTTATCAACAATTTTATAAAGAGCAAATTTGTTTTCAATTTTGACAAATTTGCTTATTTAGATTAGAAAGAAAAGTTTTGGAACAGTTTTCATCTTAATAAATATTTAATAAATCTTAATATATAATAATAAATTTTGAAAACGTCCTTAAAGTACATTAGATGACAGAATACCAAAATGCCGTTCTTGTATTCTTTCCATCTTTCGACATCCATTAGCATGGATAAATGAGAGTGTACTGTATATGAAAAATTAAACTAAAAATACTACAGTATTGACTTTATAATATTAACAACAAATAATATATATGTATTCAAACATAATTATATGTATATATTTATGTGGCATTTCTTATTAAATTTTTAAAACATTACTTGATAAAAATAAATAAATAAAAGTTCCAAAACTTGTTTATTGCAACCTACTTAAAACAAATTCTATTCTTTTGAAATAACGTGTCTTTATTAATAACCTTTTTTAATATAAAAAACTGAAATCATCATTGCTGAATGATAAAACTCTCTTTTCCAAGTTATTATTATTCTAAATTATTAAAATAATTCTGTTATAAGTTTAGCATTGCCTAAGAAAAATTCAGTATGTTAGTAATAAGGAAAGTTTTTAATCAAAGAGCCTCAAAGTAAAAGTTGACTCTGTTGTATGACTGTTGTGTTTCAAAGATGTAAGAAAAAAGACAAGATACAAAGACATTCTCTTCTTTTACTTCTTTTAGTGTTTCTTCTAGTATACAGAACTTTTAATTGTACATTTGTCCTGGATTTTTCAACAATCAGTACATTAATGCTTGACTTTAACCTATCAAATTTTTGTTTGTCTATATTCAAGTTGTTAAAATAGATCACTTCAAATGCTACTACCATAAAGTCAATTTTATTTGCAGTATTAAATGGTTTTTGAGTCTATTCCACTCATCTTCACATACAATTTTCAAAGCAGCTTAATTATGGATATAAATAGAGGTATTTATGTATAATTCAAAAAGTATCTATGCAAAAATATGTATAGTACATTAAAAGAACTGCATCTGTTAAAATTAGCTTTTCAGATAAAAATTTAAATGAACAGACTTGTTTATAATCAGAATTATTTAAATTTGAAACGTTTGCTAAAGAACAGTTATGGAAGATTTCGTCTGGAGGAAGTTCCCCAGAATCCCTGATTTTCCATGCAAATTCTATAATTACCACTCTGCTAATGTATCGCAGCAGTGCTGTTCCATTTAATTTTACTTTTTACAATTTAATTCATTTTCCACTATAATTATATTTTGTTTATATTGTCTTAATGTAATCTAACCTACAATTTTTTTTACTGAAAGCATCATATTTTTAATATATAAATTTCATTATTGTTTTCCTCATTTTATATGTTAACTTTAAAATGATTTTTCCATTATTTTTATTAATTTAATTATAAATAGACTGCCCTATTCATTTTTGCAAAATATTCTTTTTGTTAATTTATATATAAAGGGTGTTGCATAAGTTAAACTATAGGAGTTATGTTGATCCTTATTTAATCCCTTATGTGTAAAGCACAGCACTGAGTAAGAAGGAATGAATATAAGTTATTATGATGGTGAAGACCCAAAATGGGTGTGACATTTCCAAAGAGTTTAATAGATTGTATCCAGTCTTTCCACCAATTACATAGTGGTCTGGATTCAGCTCGTTAAACTATGGTAACTGTGGTCCTTCACCATCAAAATAATTCGTACTTTCTTACTCAGTACCATGCTTTACACGTAAAAGAATAAACAAAACTCTTACGATTCTAGACTTACATGACACCCTGTATATCTACAAGATGTTCTTTACTTTGCATATGAATGAATCTACTTTTTTCAACTTTAATGATATTCTTATTCTTTTATTTTTCAAAAGTATCTGAAACAACATTCATTCAATCATCTTCAAAATCATGCTATGATAAAAAAAAATTAAACGAGAATAAGCCTAAAATAAAATAGAAGATCCAATGATAACGGGAAATGTTTAGTAATCTACACATGCAAAAATATAACAATGGGCATGTACCATAAATTGACCATAAGTATCTGTAAAAATATAACCTATCATGTATGTTTCCTATCTAGTTTTATATGTGAGATAGATCTACCAATTATTGATGTAGACCAAGAGGCCCTTGTACCATTAAACCAAATAACACATATAAAAGTTATATTGAAAATATGAAAATAATGTATTAACAAAAAATACTTTTTTAAATATTAAGATAACTTCAAGGAAAGTAGAAAAAAACTACAATCCTAACAAAATATGCTTTAGGTAGGAAGAAAAGATCAAATTAAAGGATATAATACTGCTCTGATGTGTATATATAAATTATTTACATATTATTTATGAAGGAAATAAAATTAGATCAAATTAATAAACATAAAAATCATATATCAAACCTTATAACTAATTATAAAGAACAGAGTATATTTATTTTTCTCTCTAAACTTTGATGTAATGTTGCAAACTTCACAGAGTAATAATCATTTTATTTATTGCTTTTATACCTAATATTATAACTATTTACATTTGTTTGTATTATAATATGTATTGTTTAAAAAATTCCAATATAAATCAACAATATAAAATTAATTGTCAACAGTAAATGTGAGAAATGCAAGTTGACTTTTAACAGTATTCACTTTAGATTTTAATGCAATATCAAATTACATAACTCTTCTACATAATAAATTAGCAATAAACACCAATGAAGATCCCATCTCAAAGAAAATAAAGACATTAATATTTTCAATAATTTTATGAAAATCATACTTTGAAAGAAAATTAAGATTGTTAGATCATATAAAAGCAAAATTTGTGTTATATAATTTGATGAGGATTATAAATAAATACTGTATTTTAATCTTTAAAAAACAAATTTTAATAATACAAATGAACAAAGCCTTAAATCTAGTAAATATGAAACACTTAAGATTCTTTATACAAATATTGTCTGTATAGAGAATTTGAGGGCTTCATATTTAAATTTTAAGACCTTTTTAATCTAAATTTTATTATACAATAAAAAAAATTTGACTAATTAATGTATAAAAACTATTATAAAATTTATTTTAAATAGGTTGCATTAGTATACTGAAAACATTAATTTAACTTTTAAAATATAAATTTACAATAAGAAAAATTTCTATTGCAATTTAAAAAATTGGAAAAATTATTCTAAAATAAATTAAAATTAATATATTATTATTATTATTATTATTATTACTACTACTATATTTTTAATGAACTACTACTAAAATAATTCATAATGACAATTTCAAGTTATTAAAATTCTGAAAAAGTATTTTAAACTATATTATTTATATTTTTATTTAAACAGAAAACTTATGATTATCTAATATGCAACATAAAATTGCAAGAGTTCATGCAATAAAGATTTCAAATAATATTTATAAATTTAGAATTAAAATAATAAATCATTAGAAAGAAGGCAATCATATCAATTGAAGGATTCAATTCTTTCTAGAAAACATTATAATTAAATATTTGATCAATTATTGGGTTTGTGCACAAGTTTACACTGCATCATTTCTCATTTATTTTTCTTAGTGGAACTGTTGGTGTCAATACAACAAAATGCCATTTTGTAGCATTATGTTCTTGTTACATGTAAGTGTCATTGTTAGGTTCATTAAGGAAATGGTTTGTTTTTTACAGCTCATCAAGGGAGCAGAATTGAGAATGAAGTTGAGACTTCATTCTCAAGTTTACAAGAAGAAACATTTCTGACATCTGTTTCATGAGTTCAGCAAATATGCCATCACTACTGACACTACCAGAAACATTTGTCCTGTGTATGGGAAAAATGTTATATCACAAAAGACAGTCCACAAATAATTTTCCTGTTTCAGGGACAAAACTTTTACCTCAATGAAGCATTCATATCAATCATCCACTGAATTTTGATGAAGACCATCTAAACACATCATTCTAACAGAATTTAACACTGAGACAAAATGCTGTCAGGCAACAATCGTCTACAATGTATGAGTAGGTCCAAAAAACTAAAAATATGGATACCACAAAATTTCACTAATGCCAACTTTACAAAAGCAGCAATTCATAACATGAACTGTAAAACCATTCTGCATCTTCTGTACTGTCTGGACTGGGCTTCTTCTGCAGATTTTCATCTCTCTTGAATATCCTACAAGAGATCTCATTTCATAATGATGCTGCATCAGAAACTTGGGCAGATAACTTCTTCATGGCATTCTTCAAGCAAAGATTTAATTGCTTGTCCAAACACTGAGAGAATGTCATTAACAATACAGGAGAATATATAGTCATTTGCATTTCCTGTGTCTCACATCCAAATTCCATCATTCAGTGCCAAAGTCAGCAGCACAAACTTACACATCAACCCCAATAGTTTCTGATAAAACTCTATTCATTATACCTTAATATAAATCAGATATTTAAATAAAATAATAAATAATTATGCAAACTTTTCTCCAAAAATATTTAATGCTTTTTTTCATGAATTAAATATAGAATTATTTTTATTAATATTCAAATCTTCAAAATCAATTAATTTTCAGCATTAGGAAATACTATGATATGTTTCATATGAAAAATAGCAAATATTTTACTTATATATAAACAATATACTATATTTATTCTAATAAACAGCACAGCAGCAAAATAAAAAGTTTTCTAATAAACTGAGTTTAGCAGCATGCTGTTTATTAGCAAAAATATGGTATGTTTGTTTATAAATATTTTATATTAGTATTTTATAAGCTAATTTTTTTAAGTCATAAAAACTTTTAAAATAAAATAATTTTGGATATATTTTTCCTTCAACATCAGTAAACATTTTTACAAGCAAACAATGTTCAAACATACATGTAATGAAAATGAAATTGTTTTTGTTTGAATTTAAATTTTTAATGTAGGTGATAATTTATTATCAATAGAAGTGATTATTATTATTCAAGGTAAGATTAATCTTAAAAGATTCTACTTTTTAAATAAAAATTCTGAAGCTCCAAAAACTTACCTGGCTTCCAATTACGTTGGATTGCTTGATCATAATTTTGCTTTAACACCAAAAAATCAATAACATCTGGCATATCGTGATATCGAATTGTAAATGTATCTCCCCCACTTCGATCAGAGGGGTTAACTAAGAGAAGTTTTAAACAACAAAGTCTAGGTGGGCGGATCTCATAATTTATATCTACAATTTTTACAACTTCTTGTTCCTGAAAATATTTTTTAATTTTAAGTTATTATAAGCATATAAATTGATTACTATTAAAAAAAATTTACACACTCTTAATTTCAATTTTTTCCAAGGCAAGTTCTTTGTATCGATTTCATAGATTTTCGCTTTCTTTACAGCTTCTATGTAGTTTTCATGTCCCTGACGAAAATAAATATCATCATCTCCAATTTGAGGAACATAAGGAACTTTATGAGGTACAACATCTGTTAACCATTCAGGAGGTCTGAATTCATTTGGAATCTCCTTAATTCCCCCTGGAATCTGAATAAACATTTTCAAATATTAATAAAATTTATCTTCTTATAAATATGAAAGCAAATAAACTTAGTTAATTTTGAAACTATTAATTTTTTTTACAATACATAATATACAAAATTTAACGTTATTACATATAATAACAGATATACAAATTAAATATATAGTAAAACCTCATTAAGTGAAAGTTTGAGGTAAAAAAAAAATCACATCTCAATTTCAAGTTAATAAGTTTGATATACAATTTTCTCAAATATTTCTATGGTCATAAATTTCCCATCATCAAGCTGTTTCTCAATAATCTGTTATTGAGAAACAACAAAATTGCCAATCAGAAAACTGCCAATTGCCAATCAGAAAACCAGTTTTGCCAATCAGAAAACTGTTCTCATAATTATTACAGATGAAAATTTACACTATTTCCCACTATATTAAAATTTTATTGTTAAGAATAAAAAACACTTATTTATTAATATATATATGTATGTGTGTGGGTGGATCATGTTTAATACAAGTTTCAAGTTTCTACATATATGAAAAGAAATAAATCTATTCCTGATGGTATATTGGTATAATGTAGTTTTACATTATACAGAGTAGTTGCAATCCCACCAAATTTCCTAGAAGCAAGTCAATTCCCTGAATATGAGAAGTTTCTTGCCAATTGGCAACATTGTTATTCAGAGACTGATAAAACTGCACACAGTTTATGGTGCTTTTGAGTGTGCCTTCAAGACACCCCTTGTGTCTCAGTCAGAACATCAGTAGCATACTGTATCAGGATGTCGATAAAAGATTTGAACAGCATGGTATGTTTGACATGGAGTCATAACGTTTATCTTAACTGTCTGTATTCACACAGAGTATAAGAGAATGGAGGCCTATCAAAGAATGGAAAATGCATAGGAAAATAGGTTTGAGTTAAAATTACTAACAATTTTGCCTTAACAAGACTGTATTATCTGAAAACTCTACATACTGTGCATAGGACTTGTGGAGAACTTAAAGTTAACACAGCTCAACTAAGCAAAGTTTTACTGTAAATATATGTTACAAATGTAAATGCATTATGTTTTTTCTTGTAAAAAATAAAATTGCATTTAGACTTGTAAAAAAACAAACAATTATTTTCAGTTTTTTGAAAAAAAAAGTTTTATTTATAGACAGATTAATAATTTTTTATATACATAAAATGTAAATATGTCCATGTTAAAATCTTATATTTAATAAAAACTGTTTAATGGAGTCTCATACCTTTCTGTCTGACTCCTCATACCATTACATATTTAAACCTCTACACTAGCCTAATTTGTGACAAATTTTCTGCCAAATAAAAGTGCCAAATGGTAGAAAAACTTTTTCTTGAATAAACTAAAAAAAATCTGTTTTTATTACAAGTCAAAATATATTTTGTTCTTTCAAAAAAAATATATATATATGTATTTGTAAACCTCCAGTTTGAAATCTTCTAAAATACAATTGAATTTGTGATCTTATTGTAGAAGAAAACAAGTCTGAAAATTATCATTCTAAAAACATTTTCATATTAATATACAATGTCTATTCATAAATATGTAATGTTTGAAGTTTCTGAAAATTAACAATGTTCAGCAAAAACAAGAATAGAACACAAAATAAATAAATTATTGAATAGTACATTATACTAAAATATTTAATAATATATAATATATTCATACTAATTTTCTTCTGGTTTTCCTAGTTTTTTCTCTTCTGTGATGATTCTCATTTTGTTCTTCATGTTCTTCATTCTCTTCTTCATCCTCTTCTTCACTGTTAGATACCTGTCTTCTAGCTACCCTTTTTGTTTTATTTGTTTGACGTGATTTGACATTAAGTCCTGCATCAGCAGTCCAATCAGAATCCTCTCCAGAACCACTATAATATTAAGTAAAAAAAAAATAATAATAATAATTTTTAAAAACTTTGAAGTTTATAAATAACTTTTGATATTAAATTTACTACCTTTCACTATCCCTTGAACTATCTTCCCAGGGATCACAATTGATATCAGTATCTGAAGTGTTACTGGTACTAATGTGGATCGCAACTGGATTCTATATGAAAAAAGTATTAATTAACCAAACTTTCAATATACATAAATAAATATTTAAACTAACTTGCATAGAAACTGAATTTAAGAAGAATATTCTTATTAAAAACAAAAGTATATTTAAAATATTTTATTTGAAAAAGCTAAGGTATTTTTATTTAATGATAACATTAAATTTTAAACTTTATATAATTAAATATGTTATTAAATGATTTCATTTAATTTGATATGTCTTGCTATACAAAGTTATTAATTAAGCATATAAAGCATGATTATTGAAGAATTATAAATTTTGCTTGACTATACATCATAATGCATTTTTAACAACTTTGAATATCATAATCATTATTTATAAACTGTTAAACATCAACAAAAGAAAGAAAAAGAAAACAAGTTAAATGTAAAATTAGTAAGTGAACAATAGAAAGAAAAAATAATCTGATAATTCAAGTTGAATATAAAAATGAAAATTTACTGTAATAAAGCTTGGGAGAGTATATTTCCCAAGAATTAAGTAAGGTCTTCAAGATTTTTGAATATTTACCTCATATCGATCACCATAAACTGCATTTCTCCTATTTTCTCTTGTTGCACGTGTTTGCAATGATGACTGCTGTTTATTCATTCTTTGCTTTCTTCTTTCTATTCTATTTTCTGTTTCATTAGAATGATTCTATAAAAAAATAAAAAATTAATAGAAAAAGTTTTAATGATATTGTGTGTGCTTAAAAAAAAAATGTACTAGTTTAATATGACTAAACATATATATATATAACATAACTAGCAGATTTGCCTGACACTGCTCAAGCAGAAAGTAAAAACAAACGTTAAAATGAAAATCAGATTAAGAATTTGGTCACTTTAGCCTACTGTTATCGTGTTTATTGCAATACTCAGGTGTTACAAAATAGCACAGTTTCATTGGTCAGGTAGACAGGAATTGGTGTCCTTCAACAGAAAATAGTCATTGACTTCTGAATGTATGAGAAGCTAATTCAAGACATCCAGATTTTTTCTAATGTTAACTATAACATCATTCACAGCTGAATATAAAATGGAAATTGGCCAATCAATCAAAGTTTACAAAATTGGACCAAATGTTTAAACTCAGCACTAGAGTTTCTCATTTCCTGGTTTTTTACTTGTCCCAAAATTTCAGAAAAAAGTAAACTGTTTCTCAGGATTCTGGGATAAAATTAATTATTTTTAAGATATAAAAAATATCTTGAAATCAAATGATATAATTATTTTTCATTTTTTAAAGTAATTTAATACATTCTGTAACCTCCAAAATCATATTAATAATGCTGTGTAAAATATATATTAAAAATTACCTTTGAATTATGTAAAATTTTCACAAAGAGAAAAAAATTTATTAACATTTGATGGAAACTGCATACAACAACAAAAATGCTTTGAATTGAGTTGAAAATTTAAAAAAATCAACTTAGATCAAACTTCTAAATTAAAAGATAATTTTCGTTTTTTCAAATAAAACATAATACAAAATATTATTGTAAATTTTTATAATAAGATTTTAAAAAGCAAAGATGGTCAATACTCCAATCACTCAATCTGATTCTTATTTTATTACTGAAAAGTCCTGCTACCAAAAATGCCCTTTCCAATTCAATTGATGTGAGTGGAATCGAGTTTAACGCATTTAAGAAAAAACAGATGTTATCTGTTTTTTCACCTGTAGCCTGGAAGATTTCTAGTTCATTTTCAAGATTGTAGTACTTCTTTTGCTCTCTAGTATTCTTGATTTGTCTACTTCAGCTGCTTTAGTAGAAACATCAAGCTTATAGCCCAATAATTCAACAGTTCATTTGTCTTTAATAATCAGGTTTATAAAGAAAAACTTCATACTAGTTTGTATCCTTGCCCAATTTGCACAACCTGGTGTTATGCAGTTATTGAAGCTACTGCGTATGGTTAAAAATTAAGACAGTATAAGCACAATTATTCCAGATATGACAGGTTCTGACAAGTAAAGAATTCTCAGAATCCTGCCACAAATAAGCAACATATTGATTATTGATCATTTGTGACATGCTATAATGAGCAAAAATTTAAAAAACTAATAAGTAGGTTTAAAATTAATAAATATAAATATATTCTGACAATTTATGAGTTAATTATACTTTCTATTTGCAAAATTTCTTATTACAAAATAAGAAAAAAAGTGAACTTTTAAGAAATTTGCAGGATTTTCTGGGATAAGAATTTCCCGGGTTAAAAAAACAACCGGGATCCCATTTGAGAAACCCTACTCAGCACCCTTGAAACACCAAAAATATATTTTGTGCTCACTGGTAACTTTATATTAAGTAATTTTCCTTTTTAAATGCCATCATCCAGATGTTCAGAGAGAAGGGTGACCTGTTGCAAGAAAGAGATTTAAGTTAATTCAACTAAAAGTAGTTGTTGACCTCCTCCTAAATGAGAGGATGGTCCCTTGAAAAGTTTCATAGCCTTTGCTCAAATTGTGTTGAAATATACTTGTATAAAGAACAAATTAACAAACTTTCTTCTTTATACATTAGATTAAAAAAAATAAAACAATTCGAATGACACACAAATTGTTTTTGATATCTTAATAATCAATAGTTTCTAAAAATATTGTACATTCCCAAATAAATTTCAATTATAGTATAAAAATGACAAATCTATCTTGAATTTATAATTCTAAAATAAAAGTCTCTCTACTCTAAATTTTATAATACTTTGTGAAAAAAACATTTCAAACGAATTAAAATAATAATTTGTAAAATTTTTTGATTAATTTAACAATTATGATACATACCTCTTTCACTACAGTAATAGGTCTTCTTTTCTTCTCTCTTAAATAATGTGCTAATTCTGCATCTGAAAGTACTGTCCTACGATGATACTGATACGCCATCATTGCGGATGATAATGGTTTTACAACGACCCGTTTTGTCCACGTTGGCATTTCACTACTGTTTCCTCGAGACTGCCAATTTCCACTAGATTGACGAACGCCCTCTATATCACCATCATTTCTCATTCCTACTAATCGATGTCCTAACATTTTTGATAATAAATTAATTTAATTATTTCAGTTCTCACAGGTGAATAATTTTCTTCAGTATATAACAATTTTATAAATAAAATAATTTATTAAGATTACTATATAATAATAGTAACATAGATGTGTTAATCATTTGAACAAGCAAAATGAAAAAATTAACCTTCTATCCATAAATAAGTAATTTATATTCTGAGATTTTTCATTCAGCATCACAGACATTTTTGAAAGGGTCTAAAAAGAAACTTTGTCAGGTCATTGACAAGTTGATCCTGACAGATCCAGCATCTTCATCTCAAGAATAGTTAAGATGACCTATGCAGTGTAATTTGATAAACTATGTGTAGCCTAACATTGTATTGTGCTAAATATTGTTTTGTTAGAACAAGTACATATGTTTTGTATAGTAACTTGCATGACTAACATATTTTCTTTTCTAGAGACCAACTCAAGGATAGTATACTAAACAGGTTTCTAATACTCAGAGCATGTGTAGCTTTTGTGAATCACATATATGTATGGTACATGTCTAAAAGTAATTATTATATGCTCATAAATTATTGCATTTGTTGATTTTGTGCAATGTTGTTCATTAAGATTTTTGCAAGTTTTTCAATCAATCTTCACATAATATTGTCATGCACTATACTATCTCCAGACTGATTAAAGCACATGCAAAAACATACAGCAGCATGTGCTGGCACAAAATGTATAGCAATGTCTGAAATATTCAAATCATATATTACAGCAAATCCCTGCCAACTTAAACTTCATATATATCAAACAATTTTTTTGAAAACTGTACAGTAATTTAAAATTACTTTACAATATAAAAATTATAATTAATGAATGTTTTAGATATCCAGAAGTCTTTGAATAGCATACATGACTAAAAATTGTTAATCAAAATGAAATTTCAAAGAGATTTCAAGTATGAAACAGGAAAACCACAACATTAAAATCATCTGAATTTTAAAGACATAAATCATTCATAAAAAGGATTACAAATGCATAGAAAATGACAAATATAAACCAATCAATAGCATTCAATGTTATGACATAAATGCTGATCTTGAACAAATTAACATAAAAATTAAGAGAAATAGAAATAAATTATTTTAACCCATGTCAGGTACCATAAAAAAACTTAAATTTTTGGTACCATGGAATCATTCTGACTTCATGCAAAAAATAGTGATTATTGTTTATATTCTGACATAATTTACATTGATATTATTTACTTTTAACATTTTCCCCACTTAGAAGTATTTATAATCATATAACCCATTTGTTAATTGATAATTGTTAAAATTATTAAATGACACAAAATTGTTAAAATTTCATGTAAATTCCAAAATTCTTTATTTAATCTATTGAAATAATTCATAGATAAAATCTCTTTTCACAATCCTTACAGATGATTTTTTTTTTTTTGTGATTAATGCAAACATAATTATTTCATTTATTGCACTGGCTCACTATCTTTATTTATGAGATACAGGCGATATCTTGAACTTTTAGTCTCTTTGTGATTGTGTTGAACATGCTGGAACTTAACTATCTGTTTTAATACCAATGTAAGATATTCTTGAGTGACGTGAATTGACAATGCTTGATAATATGTAAATTCATTCATCAAGTGTATAGGTTATATGATTGTTCTGACTTGTTAGTTTCTTACTAAACTGTAATTAATCCAACATTGAAAGAACTAATGAGTCATACAAGTAATTAATATCTATTTCTAGTTTTATTCTAACAAACAACATAAAATCCACTTTAAATGCTATGTAAAAAGCTACTATGGGTCTATATGACCCCAAAATTGAAACATACAATATCTTAAACCAATAAAGCAACATAAGTCTGCTTCCATTCGTGTATACATTGAAGTGGCAAAAGAAAATACATAAAGCAATAAACCTGGAAAATTAACCATTTCCAGGTTATTTCAGATCAAAATGATTCCATGGTACCTGAATGGGTTAAAATCAAATAAAAATAAAATTAAGTTTCTGATTAAGTCATAAGGTCACAGCACAATTTTTTCTTCAAGATTTGATACACCCAAATGGAATCTAATGATCTCTGTTATTACATTAGCAAGTAGTTTAATTTAACCTTAATCAATCAGATTTTAAAGTAGGAAAAATAAAGAAAAAATCAATAATTTACAATTAGTAAAATAACAGCATATTTTCTCAATGTAAATCGCACTGTACTATTATTGTATGTTTTCGTCATCTGTAAAATCTAAAATTCTCTATATAGAAAATATAATTAACTTTAAAACTACCTTGTTGAGCAGATCGGCTACGAGGAGAAAAAGGCTCTTGACCACTTCTTTCTCCTGCTTCGGCAGAACCTGCAGCTGCTTGTTCATGTTGCAATCGTTCAATCATATCATCAATAGTTGGACGATGTGGATCGACTACTTCGACTTGTCTCACAGGTTCTAATATTTCTGCTTCGCCTGTTAAAATAGAGCCATATTTTCAATAAGCCAAAATTAAAAAATGAGAAAAACCAACAAAAAATTTATATTACTAAAAACACAAAAATCTTTCAATGTTGTTTAATTAAATTATTTTATATATAATATATATATATAAAATAATTTATTGAATTTCAAACATTAATTGTATATACACAAATTTTTGAATATTGTTATTTTCAATATAAAACAAGCAACATTTTTAATTTAATTCTAAAATGTTAATTTACTTATTTAAAAAAAATTTGATAAAGATTATTAAGTATTAATGAAAAATATATTTAATGTAAAATTTTACAATATGAAATAAAAATAATTTAAAACAACTATATAAATAAATAAGTAAAAATTTAATGCCAGTTAAAAAACAAACACAAATATCTCACCATTAGCAGAAACAGCAATATATGGTATTAACTGACTATCATTGCAATTTTCTCTTCCAGGAACCAATCTCTGCAAATTAGGTGGATAAGGATTTCCATCAATATCCACCAGAAAGGGAGGAGGCATCAAATGAGGTGCACATTGTGTCTGTTCGTCTAATACATGATGATTAGCATCTCTAATTAATGGACGATAATCGGTATGAAAAAACTGTTCATCTGGAACCTAAAATTAAAAGTTCCAAAGTAAATATTCCAATAATTATCCAGTTTTACATTACTTAAAAAGAAATATTTACTTTTTTATAATTATCATTGGAACCATATCCAAAAATACTAAGATGACCATGAGAATCAGTTGATGCAAATATAAATCCATCAGGAGAAAATTTACAATCAAATACAGCACCATGCCCTTGACCTTCAATCTAAAAAATTAAAATTATTGTGTTCATTAATTATTTTAATATAATTGCAAACAATAAAATATCAGATATACATAATAAACAAAAAGTTTTGATACTATTAGACGTAAAATTAATGATCTTTTAGTTTAAAATTATATATAAACAGTAAATTGCACTAAAAGAATAAATGGGATACCATCTACAAACATACAGAATTAACAGACAACTTCAATATAAATTTTCATACAATTTATATAATTATGGTAATGGAATACTTACAACATTAAAGAAACTTTTTATAACTGTTCCAAGTGTTAAATCCCAAAGCACAATTCTTCCATCGTGTCCCCCACTTAAGAGGACACGAGGATCAGTAGGATGAGGTTCTAAAACAAATACTTCATCCTCGTGAGCCTAATGACATTATATTATTTTATAAGTTTGAAATTTAACAACATGGGAAAATTTTTATGAATATAATACTTGATAAAAAGAGAAAAAAACTACTCACAATTAACACATGCTTCAATTTCCCAGTATAAGAATCCCAAACTTTCAAAGAAGAATCATTTACAGCAGTAATTACAACAGAGTCATCAGTATTCCATCCAACCATTGTTACCCGTAATTTCTGTTTATTATCATCAATTTCATCTGTAGGTTTTCTATACAAAGGCATAAAATTACAAGTTGCATTCATAGAAATTACATAAATAATCAATAAATTCTCTATTGTTCTATGAGAAATTTCACACAACAGCAATAAAAAAAAAATAAAATAAAATAATAATAATAATAATAATAAAGTAAAAATTTTTTTAACAGGTTCAGATAAAATCATTTTTTGAGACAAACATATCTTTGGTGTCCATAGTACGCATTCAATTTTTACTTTATTTTTATTGTGAATACCATGTCAAATTTATCATGCCTACTTCTCAACAACTGAAAGCTCCAATATATAATAATACATTAAGAAGTTAATAATACAATTAGTTAAAAACTTTTATTTTATTAAAGAAAACAATAATTATTTGACATTTATTGCATAAAATGTATTCTTAAATTTATAAATTCTCAAATAAGTAGCAATTTTCAGATTTTTTCTTAATGAAAATCATAGCAAACATGCTTAGCACAGGAAAATTTATTCTATAAATTTATTCTATAAATCATATCCATGCTTAGCACAGGAAAATTTATTCTATAAATTTCATACATTGAGCTTTGTAAAGAAATCTAAAGTATAAAGTTAAAACTTTATACTTTAGATTTCTTTACAAAAAATTTTGGAGATTTTTCTCAACTGCAAATTCTTGACTTTCTCAACTATCATTCATCAGTAATTTGGGAATTTATGAATTTATTAACTATATTTGAACAAAACTGCAATATTTTACTAATTAAATAAGTCATTTAACATGTTATAGAGTAAAATTAATCTTTATTTTGAAATTAAAATTCTGATTATCTTACTAGCAAACACTTAAAGTCACTAAACAATATGTTTATAAGTAGTAATGTAATAAAATGTTTCTATAATACCTCACTTTAGGAATTGTATAGTTTCTATAACTTGCATAGTTTTTATAATTAGCATTTTCTTTAATATGAGGCAGACCTCAATAAAAATCTTGTAATCATAGTATACAGCAGTATTTCTCAACATCTAACGAATCGTTGCCCCCTTCAATGAAACCATTACGTAGTATCGCCCCCTTCACTTCAAAATTCCAATGCCGAGGGCCAAGGCTAACACCAAATTCATACTGCATTGAATAGACTAATAACTAGTATAATGTTATTTGTTTAATTATTGTTTGATATAACGAATAAAATATCTAATTATTCTTAATATGATGTTTTACTATATTGCCCAGATAATTGTTTTTCGCTCCCCCAAAATATAAATTGTTACAAATTGCCCCCTTAACATGGAAAAACGTCCACATGGGGGCAATATCGCCCCCATTGAGAAACACTGGTGTACAGTAAAATAAAACAATAAAAATAAACAATTGGGATATCGAACAACCTATTATAATGAATTGTTAAGTTGTAAGATTACACTGAAGTTTTATGATAAAAATGACTTTAAACTGAAAAATCATATATAACAGATATGTAATAGCATAAACCATAGTCTTCTATTCAAACAGCCAAGATCTAAAATGGAATTATCCAGTTAAAGTTCTAGTAGGATAAAAAAGCCAAATAGCCATTGTAATTTCAAAAAATTATTAAATAGATTAGACAATCATAGTTTAGTTGGAAAACAATATTCTATGTTTCATATTTTTGTATGATAATCAGTTTAATCCAATGCTAAAACTGAATAATACATTCACTACATTTTCAATTTATGAAATAATTATTAATTATTAATAAATTAATCTCGATATCAGTATAAATTCATAATGTAAAATTTATATCATCAATAAATATATTGAATATTATATTTTAATGAAAACATTTAAAAGTAAATTAAATTTTTTGCATTTTAAATTCACTAAAAGATGAAAATATTAGAAGCATTTAAAAAACAAATATAATTTATATATGATAAAAGAACATAAGTATCACAATATTTACCCTTCCAATTTGGTTGTCATCCTCAAAGTAATAGTATGCCAATGCTGACGTTCATATCTCCAAATAAGAGCAGTTCCATCTTTACTACCACTGATAAATCGGCATCCAATATTACTAAATTGCAAACTATCTACACGATCCTAAAATGTACAAATATTTATATATTAATAAACAAAATAAGTACTATAGAAAAATAATATAATAATTATTTCTTATGCAACTGTAAGTCATAATTTATATATATTTTTAAAGATACATAAGAATTTTTTGGGGATTTAGAGCAAAATTTCCTAATTTGGTTTGTAAATATTTTATACTTTAAAGATGTTTACAATATTATCCATTTATTGAAATCATAGATATTGATATCAATCATTTATTATTATCAGAATTAGAATGCCCCAAAATATGAAAGTTACATGTTTTTGAGAAAAATGAGTAATTTATCATCATCTATATAAAAATATTTCAAAATTTTTTGAAATTTTTTATAAAGTATACAATACATAAACAGTTCATTATGCTAAAAGTATAATTATAATCTAACAAGATTACTTGGCACAAGTAAAAGTTTTGAAATGAATATCTTGTAAAATATATTTTCTATTAATTTTTAAAAATAAAAATTTAATGTTTTAGCATATACAACTAAATATTAACAAATAATTGAAAGAAATGTATTCCATTAAATGAGATAAACAGTCATATAAATTTTGATTGTTCATTTCACTGAATACATTAATTAAACATTAGTAATAACAATTTATAAAGCAAGCATTAAATAAAAGCTATAATACTCACAGAATGAGATTCCATTTCTAAAATTTTTTCTGGTCCATTGTTCCCTAAAATATTATAGACCCGTACATGATGATCAGTACTACCTGTAGCAAGGAATATTCCCCCTGTAAATAAAATAATAACCAAAATATTAAATTCTGTAAAAAAATTTCAAAAATTACACTTAAGTTTTCTGTAATTTACACTGTTACTCAAAATCAGTCTTATACTATATATACTTTTAAATTTAATAAAATATTTATTGCCACAAGCTAATGCAATAAATTATGATAAATTTGTAGCAAAATATTTTTAAAAAATTAAAGTAAATTGCAATTAAATTAACTGGGTAACAATGAACACAAAAAAAGACCTTAACAAATTAAGAAACTTTTATCTCACAACAAGAAACTATGGGCCAGGTGGCTGAGTGGTCAAGGTGACAGCCTACCACTCTGGCAGATCAGGGATTGAATCCAGATGGGTCAAAAAATCCACAGGAATTTTTTGAGGAGTGATCTGACTAGATATGTCAAGCCCAGTCCCTCACCACCCAACTGCCCTATTTTGGGCCTGGTCAAACCCATAATTGGCTTGCTAAAAGAAGTTAGTGCACAAAAGGGTAAAAAAAGGAAAAAAAGAGGAAAAACTATAAGAATTAAAAAAGTATAGATTTGTACATTTCAATTTTATTTTATATTCTTGAACTAAGCATTCATGATGACTGTTTGGTTCAAAAAGGATTAAAAAAAAAGAAGCATTCATCATGGATCTGAAGAGAAAGAAAAAAGACATTTTTCTACAGAATAGCCTGATTTTCTACATTTCAATCATGTTCTATATTTTGATTATAAAATTTTCACATAAATTATGTTACAATTAATAACATATTCAAATAATTTTATTTATAAAATATATAACTACTCTGAATATCTCTAAATATATTAGAAACAATTTGTATCATGAAAATATTGAATGATCATAATTAAAGTACCCTTCTTCAATGCTAAGAGGGATGTTTAGCAGTAAATGCAACCAAATCTGGTTTGATGATATTTCAGGACATGCAAAAGATACTTCCATGAAAAAATAATTAAAACTTGTCATCATACCAGTTTTGGTACTACAAGAAAAAATTTTATTTACACAAGACAATGAAGCCAAAAAGAGAACTTAGCTAAGCAGGGAATATTACTCAATGCATTTCATTCCCCATTATAAAGGTGTAAAACCTGGAGGTGATAAACAGTGTGTGTTCAATAATTGGCAGACTAACTGATCCTTTATGGTGCTTCTCACATGAAGTGTAATACTGTCTTTTAAGGCTACCAAAGATGCAACATGTTGCCACTTAATAAACTACTCTTTCTAAGTATTATCCCCACAAATAAAATTGCTTTTCATTTATTATAATGACAAAAGTGCTATAGTGGTGAGTTTTAGCATTAATTTTTTTTTGGAAATATTTTTGCATTTTCTAAAATGTCACCATACCAAATTTGATTGCATATGCACTACTAAATCTCTCTCTACACAAAAGCTTCTCAACTTATTTTTTATCACAGAACCCTTTTCACCTTAATAAAAAATGCTAGAACCCTGCAGATATCAACAAATTAAAGTATACTAGGTAGTTACTTTACACAAAAACCAAACCAAAAGTAAAATGACAATTAAATACAATCAAAATTAATTAATTAAAATTGAAATCTAATCAATTAAAAATTAAAATATTGAATGCAATTACCGTTTTATTAGGTTGTTTGAAAAGTATTGGGTTGTTCGAAAAGCAAGTTCGTTTTTTTTTCCGTGGAAAAAAAAAACAATATTTTTATAATAAATAAATTTTTATTGAATTATATATCAACCATTTTGGTCAAATACCTATTGTCATCGTTTCTCTATTGTCTATTGTCGTATTCTCTATTAAATATCTATTGTCAGTAGCATGATTTCACATTCATAAAAGTTTTGATTGTTGCTTACAAAAAACTGATCCAAGTGATTTTTGACATTGTCATTTGAAGTAAATGTCTTACAGTTAAAAAAAATTTGNACAGAAACTTCTTAGATTTATTAACCCTTTCCACAAATTCATACTGAGTCCACAGAGGAAGTTAACATTGGTCTTTTTGAGGAGTGAATTATAGACCTAAACTATAACCTGATAACAACAAATTTAATACATTTCCTTCGTAATGTGTAATTTTCTTTTTTGTTTGTGTGATCATTTTGCTTTTAATATATATATATATGTTGGATCATTTATAAGGTTATTATTTTGTTGATTCTCTAGCTTTGGTTTATGTTTTATTGTTTTTATGGTTTCCATTATCTTGTCAAACATTATATCATGATTTTGGTACATTCAGTTACTAATAAATTGGTCCACACTGTTTATAAAACTATAAGTAACTTTAGCATGAGTATAGTCTCTAGTTTATGCTAGTGAGTCCTGGAAGAAATCGGAAAACATCAACAGAAGGCTCGATATCTTCCAACAGAGATGTTTATGACAAATCTTAAAGATCCAATATTTAGACCATATCATCAATAAAGAGGTTCTCCAAGGAGTGGGATGTGCAAACTTCATAACATTGTTACCCATAGAAGAGTTCGATTAGCAGGCCACGTTTTTCATATGGAGAACAATAGGATCCCTAAGACAGCCATGAAATGGGTTCCTCCTGGTCCCAAATGACCACAAGGATGCCCCAGGAATACTTGGCATAGAACTTTTCTCCAAGATGTGAAGATGCTCAATATGATGTGGGAGGAAGCAGAAGTCCTTGTTCATAATCAAAATCAATAGAAGATAATTGCTAAGTGCTACTTAGCATTGGAGGAACTACTACTACGGTTTCAGATCAAGTCCTTGTATGACAATACGAGGACTAGATCTGAGACTAGAACAATTACATCTCACATCCCAAATCTGCATTGGCACATTCATAAATCACTAGACTCAAAGGATCTTGCTGTGGAATCCCAAATTTTTATTGGCAGAACCATAGGGTTTTGTAAAACACAAGTTGGAAATCCTTGCTCTAGACAGTGCTGAATAGGAGTACTTTAATTACAGTCACCAAATATAATAAATTATTTTATAAACATACATATCTTTTTTATCATAAAAATAATTAAAAAATTATATATACCTGAACTGAATGAAGAACATATCATCTGCGCTCCAGCTCGATTGCGATCTGTAAATTTTAATGGTTTTGGACTGAAAGAATAAATATTTTTAATTAGTAATAAAAATCAAACCCAAGAAACCTTTAAAATTATTACGATGTTATCTTAATAATTTTAAAGTATAACAATCATTTATACTAATTTAAGCAAAAATAAATAAATAAATAAAAACAATTTTATTTTAGAAAACTGTTAAGAGGAAGAGGCACTTTTCAATGGAAAAATGTAACAAGTTTCTTTATAAATACATAATAAATAGAAGTTTTGAAATTATTCAAATTAAAAATTAAATAGCTTAATTTATAATTTCAGAATAATGTAATAATTAATTAATTTTAAAATATTCTTACTTAAATTCATTTGTTTTAATATTCCATTGCCAAAAACATACACAGCCATCATTTCCTGTAGATATGAGGTAACGCTGTTCTCCTTTTGGATATGGACAAAACTAAAATACAATAAAATTACACAAAATTTTTAATGAAAATAATACATATAATATATATTATTAAAAAAGTTATCATAGAAAGAAATATTAATGCAGTGAAACCTGTCTAAAAAACAAAACAAATATAATAATGTTCATTTTGTTTTTTAGACAGGTTTCACTGTATTATTTAATCTATATATATATATATATAAATGGACGTGTTTGTCCCTATATTTCATTCTGCAGCCAAAACTACACATCGCAC